TATTCAGTAAGAATATTGCAGTTTTGGATTGTCACTCATGCAATGTGTTCTAGTGCACATTTTTTCCATGCATCTGATTCTTTCTGTCGTCTAAATTCCTTACGATATGATTATTCAGAAGACCTTTTAAAACCGGATGATATATTAAATTTGGTGCCTAAATTTCAGGCTAGAGGAATTGCAGGTTCTGGATATCAAGTTTCTGTTTGGATGTGCAAAGCCTACTATTGCAGTACTTTATCAGGTATGTAAATATCAAAACATGGATATGCTATGAAAGTATTTTTGTCCATGCATTTAAATTGTATTGGTCATGTATTAGCCTTGTTCCTTATTTGTAATTCTTACTAAAGTTCACTATAGAACTCTTACAGAATTGGTAATTTATGTATTGTTGGTAGCTTATGTAGTTTAAGCAAGAAGCTTTACTTTATTCATTTGAATGATAGCTATTAAAACAGTTTTCGTTTTTGTTTTTTTCTACTTAATTTGATCGTCTATTTTGATGATGTAATCTGTTGTTTGCAATGCAATCTAGAATTTTCTCCAGTTGGACTAACAAGTGCTTGGTTTCATAGGACAACAAAGATGCTCGTCATGTCAAAACATATGAAGTCTCTCTAAAAGATAAGGATTTTGTCGAGGGTCCATGGTCACAGAATAATCTCGACAATGGTGCTGATCTACTGATTCCTGTACCACCACCTCTCTGTGGTGTCCTAATTATTGGCGAAGAAACAATTGTCTATTGTAGTGCTAATGCATTCAAAGCAATACCAATAAGACCTGTAAGTCCTTTCAACATAATGTCACCTGCTTGTATGAAGATTTGCTTGAGCTTTCCGTGAGTATCCCTTTCTTTATTTCTTTGTTTTGATATGTAACCTTCATTTATTTTTCATTTCCAGTCTATCACTAAAGCATATGGAAGAGTTGATGTAGACGGCTCTAGGTATCTTCTTGGTGACCATGCCGGACTAATTCATCTGCTTGTTATAACACACGAGAAAGAAAAGTGAGTCTACATGTGTAGTTACTTTGTCATTTTACATATTCTAAACAATTAAAAGCTTTAGTGAACTTAATATTTTGTACATATTATATTTGTATTGTATCTGAAGGGTCACTGGCCTCAAAATTGAGCTTTTGGGTGAAACGTCCATTGCATCGACTATATCATACCTTGACAATGCCGTTGTCTTTGTTGGCTCAAGCTATGGCGATTCTCAGGTATGCTAGGGATGAATGAAGTCTGGCTACACTGTTTTATTGACTTGTTCCTGTAGAATGTAAATTGATATGGTTCCATGATTAGTTGTGTCCCATTTCATTGATAATCCTTTTCAGATTTATTTAACTTTGTTTATTTACTCTTTTTATTCACAGCAAAGACAAAAGCTCAAAAAATGTTTGATTTTCTAATTGCAGCTAGTAAAGCTAAATCTACATCCTGATGCAAAAGGCTCATATGTAGAAGTCTTGGAAAGGTATATCAACTTAGGGCCTATTGTCGACTTTTGTGTAGTTGATCTCGAGAGACAGGGGCAAGGTCAGGTTGTAACTTGTTCTGGAGCCTTTAAAGATGGTTCTCTTCGGGTAGTTCGCAATGGGATAGGAATCAATGAACAGGTTTGTTTTATCTCGTGAAATCTGTATGTCTTGTATGCACAATTTTCTCATCTGATACTTATCTTAAATTACGTCGTATTACAGGCCTCTGTGGAACTTCAAGGTATCAAAGGAATGTGGTCATTGAAATCTTCAATTGATGAAGCCTTCGACACATTCCTTGTAGTTAGCTTCATCAGTGAAACTCGTATATTAGCCATGAATCTTGAGGATGAACTGGAAGAAACAGAGATTGAGGGATTCTTATCTCAAGTGCAGACTTTATTCTGCCATGATGCTGTGTACAATCAACTAGTACAGGTAAGCTTTTCTAGTGCTTTGGGGCTCTTAAAAGACATGCATTTGATAGATTTTGATAGCTTAGCTTTCTGTCTGAATAGTTATCTGGTCTCTTCTCTCTATCCGTGAGTATAAATTAATTACCTTTTCTGGATCAGGTTACCTCAAATTCTGTTAGACTAGTCAGTTCTACAACTAGAGAATTACGGGATGAGTGGCATGCCCCAGCTGGATTCACTGTCAATGTTGCAACTGCAAATGCCAGCCAGGTATATATTTCCATTCTGGATTTGAAAGAGGACTCTTAACTTTGGAGTGTCTAGATATACATCACGTTTTAGAAAAACATTTGTAGATTGACTCTTAAAATTGCTTGTTAGGTTCTTTTGGCAACTGGAGGTGGTCATTTGGTTTATCTAGAAATTGGAGATGGTAAATTGACGGAAGTGCAACATGCCCTTTTGGAGTACGAGGTTTCCTGCCTTGATATAAATCCTATCGGCGATAATCCTAATTATAGTCAGCTAGCTTCCGTTGGGATGTGGACAGATATAAGTGTGAGGATTTTTACGCTGCCAGAATTGACTCTTATTACAAAAGAGCAACTAGGAGGGGAGATAATTCCCCGATCTGTTCTTCTTTGTGCATTTGAAGGGGTATGATTTCATTGGATTTACTTCAGATAAGCCTAGAACTCAGTGAAAATTTACGGTAGAAGTTAACATATGTTATTTTGCAGATATCTTACCTGCTCTGTGCTCTTGGAGATGGCCATCTTTTGAACTTCCAGTTGGATACAACTACCGGGGAGTTAAAAGACCGGAAAAAAGTATCACTTGGGACTCAGCCCATAACTCTGCGTACATTTTCATCAAAAAGTGCCACACATGTCTTTGCTGCATCTGATAGACCAACTGTAATATATAGCAGCAACAAGAAGCTGTTATACAGTAATGTCAATCTTAAAGAAGTTAGTCATATGTGTCCTTTCAACTCTGCTGCTTTTCCAGACAGGTACACTAAACATCCTCTCTCTTTTTTCTTTTTGCTTTGATTTCCAATTCCTGATCGTAAGTGAAGTGACTGTGAAGTCTGATTCTCTGTTCTCTCTTATGAGCAGTTTAGCGATTGCCAGGGAAGGTGAACTTACGATTGGCACCATTGATGATATTCAGAAGCTTCACATACGCACGATTCCTCTTGGAGAGCATGCTCGTCGAATCTGCCATCAGGAGCAGACGCGTACTTTTGGTATCTGCAGTTTGGGAAACCAGACAAATACTGAAGAATCTGAAATGCACTTTGTCCGTCTTTTGGACGACCAGACTTTCGAGTTTATTTCAACTTACCCCTTGGATTCGTATGAATATGGTTGCTCCATTCTGAGTTGCTCTTTCACCGACGATAAAAATGTCTATTACTGTGTTGGAACTGCATATGTTTTACCGGAGGAAAATGAACCAACTAAGGTATCTTTTTTCTCTGGGAGACATATCATCACACTCTCAAATACATATTTTTTTCTTTTCTAATTTTCTTTGGATTACCTCTTTTTTGTGATTTAGGGAAGGATATTAGTATTTATAGTTGAAGATGGGAGGTTGCAGCTTATTGCTGAGAAAGAAACAAAAGGAGCTGTTTATTCTCTCAATGCCTTTAATGGAAAACTTCTTGCTGCTATTAATCAGAAGATTCAGTTGTACAAGTGGATGCTGCGAGATGATGGCACTCGTGAACTGCAGTCTGAATGCGGACATCACGGTCACATTCTAGCTCTCTATGTACAGACCCGTGGAGACTTTATCGTTGTTGGTGATCTCATGAAATCAATCTCCTTATTGTTATACAAGGTATAGCTTATAGATGCAATTTGTGGGGTTAAGAGCTGATCTTCTTTGTTAATTTGATACTGTTCTGATTGGTTGATTCTTGAATGTTATAGCACGAGGAAGGTGCAATCGAGGAGCGGGCTCGGGATTACAATGCGAATTGGATGTCAGCAGTTGAGATACTTGATGATGATATTTACCTTGGTGCTGAAAACAATTTCAATCTGTTAACAGTGAAAAAGAACAGTGAAGGTGCTACTGATGAAGAACGAGGGCGGTTAGAGGTAGTCGGAGAGTATCACCTTGGGGAGTTTGTGAACAGATTCCGCCATGGATCTCTAGTAATGAGGCTACCTGATTCAGAGATTGGTCAGATCCCAACTGTCATATTTGGTACGGTCAATGGAGTGATTGGAGTAATAGCTTCACTTCCTCAAGAACAGTATACTTTCTTGGAGAAGTTGCAGTCAAGTTTGAGGAAAGTGATTAAAGGAGTTGGGGGATTAAGCCACGAGCAATGGAGGTCGTTTAATAACGAGAAAAGAACCGCAGAAGCGAGGAATTTCTTGGATGGAGACTTAATCGAATCGTTTCTGGATCTGAGTAGGAACAAGATGGAGGACATATCTAAATCCATTAATGTCCAAGTGGAAGAGTTGTGTAAGAGAGTTGAAGAACTCACTAGGCTTCACTGAATCAAAGCAACAGATGCCAATAGGCTTTTGTTTTTATTTATTTATTCTATGCTTTCTTGTGTTAAAAGTCTTCTTTGAGTTTTATTTGTCATCAGCTTTTGAAGTTTGTTTGAGTTGTTGTCTTTGTAATAACTTGGCGTTGGTTAAAAGTGTTGTCTACTAGATCGAACCAGGAAGCAAATCGGACGGGACTGGCCTTTTTGGTCGGATCGACATATATATATATTTATGTTGCTGCTAATTCTTTGCTTGTAAACGTCTCTTTCTCAACTTTTCCGTATTGGTTAGTAAATTATTAAATCTTCTAAAAACAGATCTCATGCGATTATGTTCTTTTGGTTCTAAAGATATGACTGAACATATTACTTCTCTTGAAGGCACCTTTGATTCCTTGAGAAATCTAGATTCTTCTTTACTCATTTAATTAGGGTCTCTCCTAACAAGTAAACACAACACCTCTCGATCAAACTGGTCATCATATATAGAGACTTATATACCACACAATATAAGGTTTCTTCTTATGGTGGTGTGATGATCTAGATTCTTTCTTCTCTTTATATATATGATTTGGTATTCCAAAAATCTAAGAAAATGAGAACTCAATTTTGGATTTTTCTACTTTTTCTGCTTCTACTAAACTTCTTCTGCCAAGGTAAATCATCTTTCTCTTATTCTGTAACTATTGAAAAATAAGCCATGTTTTGTTTATTTGTCTCATCGATGACGTATGTACAATATGTAGCGGCAAGGCCAGTGACGACGATCAGACCAGAGTCAATAATAGGGCCACAAGGGAACACGACGTTCTTGGAGGGAACAACATGGTGTGTGGCTCGACCAGGTGCGTCTCAAGCTGAGCTACAGAGAGCTCTTGACTGGGCATGTGGGATTGGGAGAGTGGATTGCTCGGTCATTGAGAGACATGGTGACTGTTACGAGCCAGACACGATCGTGTCCCACGCATCTTTTGCGTTTAATGCGTATTACCAAACCAATGGGAACAATCGCATTGCATGTTACTTCGGCGGAACAGCTGCACTCACCAAGATTAACCCTAGTAAGTAAATGCATTTCGCTACGTACTATTATTGTATTTTATACATGATCGAATAATATCTATAAACTTAGAAGAAGATAATATAAAAAGATAGATAAACTGATATATGCAAATTAAAGTTTTATATTCAGCTATTATTTCGTAAAAGATAATGGATTTCTTACTTGAACTATTAGATAATATTTTTATTTTTCATGGTAATAAAATGTTATGTGTTTGCTTGCAGGCTACGGAAAATGCTCCTATGATGTATCAAGGTAAGAGCACTAAAATTTCACCCTTTCTTTTTCATCATTTTATTTTATAGTTGGCGAAAGCAATCTTATCATAGAATCTAATATATGGTGTTTAATCTTCCTTCATTCATTCAGATCAGAAGTCTCCGCTGCAAGATCTCTATCGAAGTATAAACATCGGTGGCTCATGTTGATGCACATAGGACTTTTATTGCTAATTAGTCGGAGAGGCTAAAGTCTTTTCCGAAAACGTAGAACTTTGCTTAACTCAGTTGTGTCGGAACCTTTTCTTCTTGAGCAAAATTTTCAAACCTTTTTGGCTATATATTATTGTAGCAGTTAAGCTTTGTTTTTGTTCTTACCTTTGTTCATGGGTTTAGTATCTTTAAAGCCTTAGAGCCTTCCTTACGTCTAACAACAAGTGTCTCTTTTTTTCTTTCATGTTAAATAATATGGGGTTGAGAACAATTCTATGTATATACATTTAATAGATTAATATCGAGTCATTTATAGAAGCATACTAATTAATGTCTTAAAACCTACCACATTAATTTCTTAACATACGATAATTACCAGTGATACAATGTTCGGTAGAAGATAACGTATGCTATTGTCAACGTTATGCAATATATCATGAAATTTGGACGAATACATTGGTGAAACAACATTCAATATCTTGATCTTAACATTCAAATTTTTAAAATTTCATCAACTATATGAAAAAATAAGTCCATATTATATTATTTGGGTTTTGTTAATTTGGCCAGTTACTATGTTTCGGGACATGCAAAATGCCGGACTCCCACCTGAACAAAACTTAGTTTAGTTTCTAATATTAACTTTGCTTTGCATAAAAAGTAAATAACTACTACATCTCTAGTAAAAATCACTGAAATTAGTTAGCATGAGTGGTTTAAATCTCTAAAATCTTAGACAATGTATTTAATTGATGATCATCAAATTGTCTAAAAATAACGAATAACGCTCCCAAATTAGTTAATATAAATTTTAGTAAATCTAACAAAAACTCTTAAAATTTTGGTAAGTACATATCCTCCTGGTCCAATTATAAGTACATATATGTGCATGTTTGCTTTCCTTGTTGACTTACATGATACCCACTAATTTAGATTCCCCTCTTTGATTTTGATAAAGCATAAAAATTTTTTTTGACTAACTATCGACATGTTCTAATAATATAATAATTTGCCATTCGTCTAAGAAAATGTTCTATTCTACATACACTAAGCATATTTATATGTTTTTCAATAGACAATATAATTGCCAAATTTTCGTATTGCACATACCATTTACAAACTACAGTAAAACCTCTATAAATTAATAATGTTGGGATCATGGAAATCTATTAATTTATAAAGGTATTAATTTATCGATAAATTAATAATTATTAATTTATAGAGAGATATTCCTAATTTGGAAAATATTTTCAAAACAATATTTAAAAATAAGATTTAATAATGATAATTAGTATTTTATATATTCAATTACAAATAAAATAATAATAATTATGTATTAAAATAGAATGCTAACTATTTTTCATATAGTAAAATATTAGATATAAAATCTAACAAAAACTAATGTGTCTATATATACATATATTTTGAAAATTTTACCTAATTATTAATTTATAATATTGATGGGACCATATATTTGCGAAGGATTTTCAAAAAAATTATTATCTTATTATTTTATCGAAATATGTCTAAAATTACACTGGTCCCAACTTGGGACCGGAGAAATTTATTAATTTATAGAGATTATTAATTTATCGAGTATTAATTTATAGAGGTTTTACTGTAATTTACTAACACATTTTGTACTTTTCTCAACATAAAGTTTAGGAAATGAATTGCAATGCCAACAAATCAGTGATTCGTTCAATAATATTGCATTACATGGACACGTTTTGCACTAGTAACAATAATCTCTACTATTATTGCCTTTGTTGAACATTATTAGTTAATTAGCCAAGTCAAAATAATTAGATTAACATGTATCCCTTGTATTAGATAAAACTGTATCACTCATATCATTGTAAATTTCATAATATAAATTTATAAATTTGTATTATAAAAAGTCAAAACATTTATTAATCTACATTAGTCACATTTATGAATTTACATTAGTAATACTTATGTTTTTACTATCAAAATTTACGATTTCGAAGATTAATTGACTTGTCAAGAGAGCGTCCATACCGCCAAATACTTTTTTTTAGATCGGAGTTTTAAATTAAAGATTGAGTGTTAGTTCGGAGTCTTAAACTAAAGATTGAGTGTGTTATTCGTCTTTTACTCCGCTCTTTTATTTGTTTTGAAGATACTTTAAAGAAATTGAAGACTCTTACATGTCATGTATGTGGGTTAGTAATATAACTTGTATTATTTTATTTTATTTAACATCAAGAACTTGTATCCTTTTAAAATTTAATAAAAAAAAATTATGAAAAATATTAAATTTTAAGTGTAATTAGAAACTAAATTCGGAAATTGGAACATTTAAACGCGCACTCTTCTCTTATGACTCATTTCTTAACAAATCTAATACTCTCTCCATTCCTAAAAACTGATTTTTTTAGGTTTTTCACACATATTAAGAAAACATCTAAAAGTTAATGATAATTGCATTGATTTTTGTGATTCACAGTCTTTAGAATTCTAAACTAATAATATTTAATTATTTACTTTGAAATTTGTAACTCGTAATTAATAATGCACTTATAACTTAAAACAGTTTTCTTTTTGAAATAAAATTTTATTTCCTAGAAAAATCATTTTTTAGGAATAGAATGAATAATAATTACACCTTAAGATTTTCTTAAGAGACCATTAATAATGATGGTCGAAGCCTAAAAATAATTGTTAATAATACTAATTTAAGTCCTCATGTTCAAGTAATATGGGCTTTTCAGGCTCAATACTAACGGCCCATAAAAGTTTGCTTCAGCGCCTTAATCCGTCCGAGATCTCATTCATCGAGTCATCGTCTTCAAAACAAAACCCTAAAACCTCCATCAACGCCGGAGGAAGAAATTTTGTGTCCTTTACAATCGCAGCGATGAAGGAAGAAGAAGTAAACCGATGCCAGATTCAGAACTGGTATCCAAAATTCAAATCCTTAACCATCAAAACCAAATTTCTCAAATTGCCAGAGTCATTCATCAACTACCTCTCCGACGATTCTGGTCCGTTTCTTCTCCCTGATTCCGTAACACACGAAGACGCAATGCCCAATAGAGTCCACAATTTCGAAGAAGAAGACGATTTTCAAGTCTCCGAAGGTTCAGATGACGAAGCAGAGACGCCATTGAATCTCCCTTCTTTCCCAGAACTCGAAACAGAGATCAAGGAATCAATCGAAACCCTAGGCGGTACGGTTCTACCGAAGCTGAATTGGAGTGCACCAAAAGATGCAGCTTGGATTAGTCCATCGCAGAATCTTAGCTGCACTTGTTTCAATGAGATTGCTCTCTTGTTTCGTTCCTCAGACTCGTTGGTCCATGATCTCTGCAATGCTTATGATTCTTGTAGTGACAAAGTCTCTTCCAGGCCAGAAAGTTTCTACCTTGCGTTGAGAAAATGGTATCCTTCTTTAAAGCCTGAGATGGAGTTTAGATGCTTTGTGAAATCAAACGAGCTTGTTGGGATTTGCCAGCGTGAGGTTACTACATTTTACCCTATTCTTCTCAATGAGAAGGATTTGATCAAGGGGTTGATTGAAGAGTTCTTTGATGATAACATTAGGTTGGAGTTTGAATCAGAGAATTACGCTTTTGATGTTTATGTGACGAAGGAGAGGAGAGTTAAGCTAATTGATTTCAATACTTGGTGTGGTTCTACATTGCCATTGATGTATACATGGGAAGAACTTGAGAAGATTCATGGTGAATGTGATGAATTGGAATTGAGGATTGTTGAGAGCCGTCGCAGCGTGCTTCCTGGTTTGAAAACTGCTGTTCCTTATGATTATCTTGACGTCAGTTCTGGTAGTGGTTGGGATCAGGTTTTTAAGAAAGCTGAAGAGGAGCTTCGGAATGAAGTTGCTTGAGCTTTTTGGTCGAAGATGTGCTGTTACGAATCAAGAAGACTTCAAGATTCTTGGATGTTTGAAGACTAGACAATATTTCTTTGTATAATCGTAGTTGTGCCTACATCGATAAGTGTTGTCGTCCATTGTTGTTCTACGACTGTTTAGATCTGTTTTTGTCTTTGTATACAGTCTTTTCTTCTACAAAGAATTGTGTTGAGAGGCCAATTGTTGTGATTGGTTTCTCATTATCAAATTTGTGGCCATGTTACATGAATGTTGCATTAGTTTGTTTATGTCAGATCGGTACGATCCGGTTCGGTTTAAGACATTGACTAAATTGAAGCAAATACAAATAGAAACAAGAGCAAAAAAAAGAGGTTTAAGATCTTCAAATGATGAAGAACATTTGAGATTCTGAGGTGGTCTATGTTCTTTATATAACTCATAACCTTATTCTTCATCTTCAAGCTTAAGATTGATCTCTTCTTCATTTGGATCTTCGCAAGTGAATGAATTTTTCTTCTCTACGATAAACTGCGTTTGCTTCTTTCATTTGGATTTTTTTTTTTGTATCGTTAGTTCTAATCTCAAGAGAGTTAGATTGGTGGTACCTCTTTTCAGCGTTATTACATTCTGGGTTGGTCGCAATCAAAATTAGGTTAAATTTCAGCTCTTTCGAGGTTCCAGCTATTTTCAAAGGCGGCAGGGAACGATGCTCGGTCATAGGATCTCAAGATTCGGGTCTGCCATTGTGAAACAGCTCGCAAGAGGTATTATCTGCTTTAAATCGATTCTCTTTGATGCGTTTGCTACATTGATTTTTGATGAAGTTTCTAATCTCTCTTCGATTTCAAACTGCGTATGCGTATTAGAGTCGTTCATGAGTTTTGTGGAATTGATATAACATTTCAGAGAAGCTCACACAGTGTCTGCTCTTTATATTTCTTGATTTGGCAGAGGGATATTTATCAGCAACATATGGGACAAGGAATCTACAACGGTCTTATGGCCACTACTTGCCGTCTTTGGTTAGTCTTATCTTGTTCCCAATTTTTTTTTTTCTACTTGGTTACACTTTGCATTTGCAGGCATGATTGTGTTACTTCTTAGATGTATATATATACATTAATTCAAACTTTGAATAGTGTTCTTTGTTAGAAATTCACTATGTTATCTGGCTAGGTAGAAGCTTGTTGATAATAAGTCTTCATGAATGTCCTAAATGATTTCAGAATAATAAAATACAGCTTTTCAACGCTTGTTTCGTGTTATGATTCACTTAGTAACAATTTGAATGCGTCCAGTTATATACATGTATTCATGCTTTGCTTGTAACAGGAATCATTAGAAAGACTGAAAGAGTCCTGTGTTCGGTTCTGGCTCAAAGGCCTTAGCAAATGCTTAAGATTTCATGGCTAAAATTTTTTATGTGCTGTTACTATCTGGATGATTTTACTTCAAATCCTGGTTTCTGTTTTAATTTCCTCGTTGATGTTGAATCTTTTCCTATTTCTTCTTTCCAAAAGCCAATGGTACAGAGGCAAACTAGGACTTCTCAAGAAGCATTCTTCTTGAATAACCATAGGTTTTATACTGCTTCTGCCACTTCCTCGGATGAAACTGAAAAGTAAGTTTAAATCATGCGTGAAATTTTGTCAGCAAATTCTTAATTCTTGCATAGAATAATGTGCACATAAACATCATTTCAGGATTCAAGCAATATATTTAGCCTGATAGTTCTCAAAATCTTGTTTTTTAAAGGATAACCATTATCTTTGTCGATAAAGATGGGGAGGAAATTCCTGTTAAAGTCCCTATTGGAATGTCCGTGCTCGAAGCTGCTCATGAAAATGATATAGACCTCGAAGGCACATTCTTTTCTTCTCATTTCTTTAATGCTTCTTCTATTGATGTTTGTAAGATTGATTCCTCTATCGAATTGAGAAGTCACAGACTGCTTTTACTTTATCTCCAGGGGCTTGTGAGGCTTCTCTAGCATGTTCAACGTGTCATGTGATTGTGATGGTAAACATATATCCTCCATAATTAATAGATTGTCCTTTGTTTTTGCTTAAACCAGGATCTTGCTGATAAAATAACTTAAAATTGTATCTACAGGACACAGAATATTACAACAAACTTGAAGAACCAACAGATGAAGAGAATGATATGCTTGATCTTGCTTTTGGGCTCACAGAAACGTAAATTTCTTACTTAAGAAAAGAAAAGAAAGTTTGATTTGTTTACTTTTATATGAAAGTATCATATGTTCCCTGAAAATGTTTCAGGTCACGGCTGGGATGCCAAGTCATTGCAAGCCCAGAGCTAGATGGTGTCCGTTTGGCCATCCCGTCAGCCACAAGAAATTTCGCAGTTGATGGATTTGTTCCAAAACCTCATTAGTTTCGCAGAGTCTCGTCGAGATGAGGCATTAAAGTTCAAAGAGATGATTCATGTTTGGAAGTTCTATAAGAGTTTTGATGATTGTTTACTGAGAGGAAACAGTTTGATTAGATATTCTAGTTTTGATCTTTGGCATTTCTTGTTGTTGTCTGAGTCTGAAACAGAACAAGCTTCAGGAAAAGCATAAGGCTTGCTTTTTTTAATATTGCAGAATAAACTCAAAAAATTTAGACAAGGGAAGATGATCCAATCCACATCTTTTAAACTTTTCCAGAGTTTAGAAGTCGTACAAAGACAAACAGAAAAAGACATCATTACTAAAGGTTACATACCACAATGACGAATAAAGTCCATTGAATCTATGAGAAAAGAAGTTATAAACGAGTTTGAAAAGATATCACCTGCGTGAATCTGGTGCATCTAGAAAATCTGCATGTCATCGTAAGAATCAAACGGGTCATAGTCAGAATTGTCATCAACACCTGAGAGGTCATTGTAGTCATCATACTCATCATCTGACATCAGATCAATATCAGAGAAGCCATAAGGATATTCATCTTCTGATGAACCCATGTCGATAAACGCTGCATCAAATGGGTAATCATGAGTGGAGTCATTAGGGCGTCTCACAACTTTGACCCTCTCAGAACACCGTTTCTGCAGATCCCCAACAAGGTTAACGTTGAAACACCGTCGTAAATCAAGATGCTCTAGGCTTGGACAATTGTCAAGAATGGCAATTAAGCCGGTGTCTGATAATCCGTTCCCAAAAAGCTGAAGATGGCGAAGTCCAGGCATTGTTTCAGCGATTGCTAGAGCGTCATCATCATTCTCCTTTTGAGGGTGCCTATTTACCTTCAGTGTCTTCATATTTGGACAAGACTGGCCTATCGCTTTCAGAGACTCCCCTGAAAAAGAGCAGTATGACACCTCAAGGTCTTCAAGCAGTGGAAGATTCACAACTGCTTTTACAAAGGCATAGTCTGTTATATAAGAGCACCTTTTAAGTCTTAGGCTTCTCAGTTTACTCGACCTGCAAATAATTGTGTGTGACAAGTTAAAGAAAACAACATCTAAAAGATAGAGAAAGAAAATGATAAAGATACAGAAGATGTTCTTTCCAGCATCCATAAAACCTGAACCTAACCATTCAGACCCAAGAAGCATAAAAAACTTAGGTCATTGTTTACTACTCCAGCTTAGAATTCTGAGACAGTGTACTTTGCAATGCATATAACCCAATGTTCAAAAGTGAATTCATCTGATATATAGAATCATAAGAATGAACACACAAAAATCCTCAAATTCCCCAATTCTCATTTACGACCATCCTAACCCTAAAACTCACATAAACCACATAGAGCGAGTTAAACCAAATCAACCTCAAATCTCTAAACAAAAATTGAAATTTTCCAATTGAAGAAAAACAAAAATTGGCGAGAGAACCTATCGGCGATGTAGATGAGGAGATCGTCAGAACCAATGTTCCAAAGATCAATTTCAATTAAGCCTCCCTGGCTACGATCAACTGCATGACGGCACATGATGTCGAGATCGCATTTCATGTCTTCCACGTCTCCATGGTTATGCATGTCAATTTTACGCCACATCGAAGGGTCTTTACAAACGCGACGCCACGACCTGCAAACTTTCTGAGCGTTCTCCAGTATCTCAATCGCGCCGAGACGGTGCAGAATCGATGACGTCAGTTCCGGCGGAAGCTCCGCCCAGTTTCTGTATTCTCCGACATCAATCGCCGGAGGCGAAGACGACGAAGCCATTATTTGGTATCGGAAACGTCAAAATCCCACTAAACAAAGAGACTGAAGTAGTTTTTTCAAGAAATTTCAACTAGGTCCTCATTGTATCACATATTTACGAAACTCATTTGGACCAAGCCTACTTAAATCTTGGGCCTGGGCCTATTACTAAACTCATCCGTGCTTTGCAACAGAAATAACAAAAGAAATTGCAAGTACGCGCTCAAAATGTTTTGAAAAAAGTTCAAAGGAAATTAGATTTAGGATCCTGAAGCTATGAAGTACAGACATAGAAAACAGAGCGAGAAAAGAGAAGACATGAACGAGTTCATAATTTGAAAAGACCAACAAAAACAACATGTTCTCTGCAATGTTCAGAAAGATTCAATATCTAGTAGACTAGTACCGAGGGTCGGGTTCGAGTTCGGATTTCGGATACGGTTAACCTCCCCAGGCCAGTAAGTCGCCTATAACGTCGCCCATAAGGTCATCCCCGGCCATAATGTCATAGTGGCCATATAAATAGGGTACAAAACCATCTGAATGCGTAAGAAGACCACTGGATTCAAATGGGCAATCAGCGGTTGAGTCATCGGGGCCTCTCAAATCTTTGATCCTCTCAAAACATCGCTTCATGAGATCCCCAACAAGGGTCACGTTGGAACATTGACGTAAATCAAGGTATTCCAGGTGAGGACAACGGTCAAGCATGGCGCTCAAGCCCGTGTTGGTCAGTGCGTTCCCTAAAAGCTGGAGGTGTCGTAGCTCAGGCATGCTTTCTGCAATTGCTATGGCATTACGATCACACATATCCATTGAAAACTCGATGCGAGGACGGCGGTTTAGCTTCAATGTCTTCAGATGTGGACATGACTGGCCTACAACACTCAGACACTCTCCTGAAACTGAGCAGAATGAGACCTCGAGGTCTTCAAGCAATGGAAGTTTCACAATTGCGTTGGCAACTCCCTTATCTGTTATTGGAAGGCATCTTACAAGTCTAAGACTTCTCAGATTACTTGACCTGCGGATTATTGTGAGTAAAAGTTTAAAACATAACCTAAGATAGAGAAAAAGTAGAAGAAAGACAAAATGCAAAAGATCTTTTTAATTTACAGCACATGAAGAACCAGAAGCCAAAGATTTAAAATCAAAGTAGATGTTTTCCCACTCCAAACTCCAAAGATCAAAAGGTAAAGCATTCATAAACGTGAAAAAAAGGACCATGTAGAAGAAAACAACAAATTTAACCCTATCGAGAACAACACAAACATTAACAAAAACCACTGATTCAACATATTACCAAGCAATTCAATTCAATGTCAAAAAGAGCTTTCATCAGAGATTCAGTATAAGAAAAGAGAAGATAATTACGATATAATGACAAAAAGAGTGAACACAGAATCCTCCAAACACAATCATCATAAGCTAAACAATAATTTCCCCCAATTCTCACAAAAATTGTTCTGAAACCCTAGAACTAGCATAACCCGATACAACGAATGAAATCAAAGCAACCACAGTTCTCTAAAACCAAGATTCGAGAGATATTGAGTTACAGGGAGAGAGAGAGAGAACCTATCGGCTATGTAATCGAGGAGCCCATCAGTACCGAAGTGATGAATGGCGATCTCAACCAACCCGCCCTGGCTACGATCAACTGCGTGACGGCACATGCCCTCGAGGTCGTACTTGACGCTTTCCGAGTCTCCGCCCTTGTCTATCTCAATCTTTCGCCACATCGAAGGGTCTTTACAAACGCGATGCCACGATTTACACACTTTCTGAGCGTTTTCAAGAATCTCAATCGCGCCAAGTCGTTGCAGGATCGATGACGTAAGATCCGGCGGAAGCTCCGCCCAATTTCTATATTCTTTGTCCTTCATCGCCGGAGGTAAACACAGAGACGATGGCTAAGGAGAAACAAAAGGAAAACGGATATGGAGAAGAGGAAAAGTAAAGTAGCCCACAGGATTGTAGTTTCAAAATTTTCGTTTCCGTCACTAATAAATTACAATTTTTTTTCTTTTTCTCGGGCAACTTATCTTAATTACAATTAGGCCCTCATAGCGATAAATATTTTGCGATATTAGTTCGGGCCATCAAGTGCAATAATAAAAATAAATATTTTGGGCTTAGGCCCATTATTTTGTTTCTTAGTAAGAACCTGGATGTGGCGTAGGCTGTGCATGCTAATGGGCTTATAACTTGAGTTGTTTAGCTTCAATGTATTTAGCTGTGGGCAAGTGTGGCCTTTAGACCATGGGCAATGGTGTATTTAGGCCCAGTCCCACATCCAAAAGAAAAAAAAAAAAAAACAAAATTTGAGGCGGGACGTATTCAGAAACGGGACGGTCTTTCCTCTTGTTTACCACTATTTGCGGGTCCTACTGACACGTGGCGGCTTGCGATTGATTGTTTTTATGTGTTTTTTTAATTAAAAAAAATCGCAAAGAAAAAAGTGAAAAAAAAAAAATTGGGACAAAAATGGGTCCTAACTCCTAAGTGGATGCCCTTACAACTTTCAAATTCAGTGATAAACATAATAGCGTGATGAGACCTCGAGGGTTTAATTTCAAGCAATGGAAATTTTGCGATTGCCTTCACAAGTCCTTTGTCCGATGTACTAAATGGACAGTACCTTCCTAGTCCAAGACTTCTCAGATTCCTTGATCTGCAAATAATGGTGTGAGTCAACATAAATCATAAAGTAAGAAGAAGAACAACAATAAAAAAAAATTGGATCATACTACCAATCTCTAATCATCTCAGAAGCATGTAAACTCAAAAACGTGTTACAACTTACGAGCAATGCGTTTGTTTTGATTAAGACGATGGACTAGTTCATGACTGAAAAGATCAAACTTTAATTAAGGAAGTCTATAGTAAGCGTCATATAATTAAGATGATACTAACACTATACCCTATAATAGGATTTCCAAACATAGAAAACGTAAAGTACATATAACTGAATATCCAAAAAGTGCATTCATAGCAGATCCAGTAAAATTGGAAAAAATTAACGGCAACATAATAAGTGGAGTTTGTATTACAATAAATTTAAAAGAAAAATATAGAGTAATGTATGAGATTGCAGTTGCACATATATGAATAGTTAAACTTAATGAATGATTTGAATACTAGTAAGGTTTATTGCACATGGTTATAAAACGGACATTGAAGTCAACACACGCTCCAACAAGTTCAATATAAAGTAAGGACACTGCAACAACGAATGTAGAGAAAAAAAAAAGGAGACATGAATTACAATTTCATATGTTGGCAAGACCAGCATACATATACAACATGTTTCTGATATATAGTTACTAGAACCTTAGAAATCATAGTCAACCTCAATATGTAATCACCACCAGTCGACCATATATATATTTCCCTAGTCTCATCTGAATCATAATTGACAAAATTGGTATATATGGGTAATCAGCGGCTGAGTAATTTTGGAGCGATTAGAATCTTTGATTCTATTAAAACATCGTTTCTCTAGATCACGGACAAGGTCAATGATGAAAAACTTACGTAAATCAAAGTGTTCCATGAGATTGTTGTCAAGAATGGCGTTTAAGCCACTTTTAATCTTGCTCTCAAGAAGCTGGAGGTGGCTTAGTTCAAGCATGCTTTCACCAATACTAATGCATGATCATCGTTAACTTTTAAGCGAGAAGGCATGTAACCAAAGCAATTAAGCTTGAATGTATTAAACCGTGGACATGAATGACCTTTAACTTTAAAGTTTAGCTATGTCCATGAGTGTATGACAGGTACACTTAGAGTACTGGTAGTTTAGGTACTACATTCACAAGTTGTTTTTGGCAACATTAGATAGTACATAAGAAGTCCAACGCTTCTTAAGTTACTTGATTAGACAAATAATTCGCTAAACCATAAACTACGAAAAAAAATTCATAGTATGACAAGTAAACTCAGAGTATATATATTATGATATTTGTTGGCACCATGAAGTATAATAGCAGAAATAGTCTCATAATAAAAATCAGCCATATTTTTCGCAACTTACACTCACATAATCAAAGCTTAAAAGTTTAAAGGATATAAGGAAATTGAAACTACCAAGTACTAACAAATAGAAAAGATGAGACATGAACGAGTTCATAAGTTGACAAGACCAACAAAAGCAATGTTTAGAGAGATTCAATACCTAGTCCCGATAATAGTCCCGGTACCAACTAAGTCATAGCAGACTCCATGTTGTTAATACTATCTAGATATAGTATTAGTTATCATCTGAGTCGTCATCAGATGACGAGTACTCAAAATCAGAACTGAGAAAAATGATATTATATGGATAATCATCACTTAAGTCGCTCGGGCGTCTGAACTCTTTCATCCTCTCGAAGCATTGTTTCTCAAGATCTTCGCCAATATGGAAACACTTTCTTATGTCAAGGTGTTTCAAGCAAGGACAACCGTCAAGAATGGCCTTCAAGCCATCTTCAGTTAATCTGTCCCCAAGAAGCTGGAGGTGGCGTAACTCGGACATGCTTTCAGCGATTGCTAAGGCGAAATCATCATCACCTTTGATGATACCAAACCCACGTATTCTGACGTGAAAGGACGCCGAGGAGTTTAGCTTCAATGTATGTAGCTGTGGGCAAGCCTCGCCTATAGCTTGCAGATTCAATCTTAAACATGTGTGTGAGACCTCGAGGGTTTCAAGCAATGGTAGTTTTTCAAGTGCGTTCACAAGTCCTCTGTTCGTCACAGCTGTATAGAATACTTGAAGTCCAAGACTTCTCAGATCCCTTGATCTGCAAAAAATTGGGTGTCGAGTTAAAATCATAAACTAAGAAGAATAAGAGGGATGAGAAATTCTCAAGTACTAATTAACTTAGAAGCATGTAAAAATAAGAAAAGCAAGGCGTTTGGGACGACAATTATATTGGTCAAAAAAAGAATATGTAGTGATGCTTTAAAGCAAGTCTATGATCAGGTTGTATAAGCTGATGATATTCTCACATATGCTCTTAAATAACCTAACTACAATTAATGACAAAGGCAAACGCATAGTACGTACATTAAAAAAAAAAAAAAGGAGTTTAATATACATTCTCGAGTAAAAACTAAATGAGTAACCAAAGTTCATTACTGTAGCGAATCATCAGATCCAGTAAAAGGATAAAGATGTGCTAAAAATTAATAAATAAGTAATAATTAAACAAAAAATAACGAATATAAGTCAAAGAAAAATTTGCCCTAATCATCACCAGATAAAACAAAGGAACAAACACATTTCAGATATGTCTTTATCAGTCAAAATATAAATACTCGGACATATTGTGTCTAACTATTTACAGACAGTGAAAGCAAAGAAAAGCCATGAAATGAAACCGTTTAAACTTAGCGCCTACTTGAGATCAGTGTAAGGGATAGAGAGATCAAGAGGTACCTATCGGCGATGTAGTTGAGGAGAGAATCGGTGGCGAAGCTCTCAAGGTGGATCTCACGCAAGCCGCCCTGGCTGAGATCAACAGCGTGACGGCACAAGATATCGAAATCCAAATCTTCCATCTCGCGGTTCCCCAGGTCTCGCAAGTCGATCTTCTTCCACATCGAAGGGTCCTTACAGATGCGTCGCCACGGTGTGCACACCTTCTGAGCATTTTCAAGTATATCAACTGCACCAAGTCGGCCCAGGATCAGAGACGTCAACTCCGAAGGAAGCTCCGCCCAGTTCCTTCGCTCTCCTTTCTTCAGCGGAGGCTCTAAAGCAGACAACGGCGTAGAGGAGGAGGAAGACATTTTTGAGGGTAAACAAAAGAAAATAGGGTTTTCAAATCAGTGAAATAAGAAGTGAAGTAGTAGTGTCCGAACCCTTTACGGCTCCTGTCTTTTATAATCATATTAGGTTTACGTAGGGATTATGTGTATGCGGTACTAATTCATGCCACGTATTACAATTAGGCTCTCAAATTTGATACAGCGAGTAACACTCACTCACGCGCTAATTTGATTCTTTTCTAATTACGCAAAATATATTTGCCACCACAAACGTATCTTTGACCCATCCGAGTTTAGAAGGTAATCAAAAAAATCGTGGAATATACTCTTTCCTATTTCGGTAAAATATATAATTTGGTTTGATAATGCTTATTTTTAAAAATTTGCAGGATCTTATTTCAAAAATTTTAAAATTTTGGTTGCGGGAAAAATTCTCAAAATCCGTCGGTTTTCCGTCGGTAATTTCCGACGAGATATGGTATGTTTAGGGTAAGTTTAGGGTATAAACCCTTATTTTCATAATTTCTAATGGATTAGTGTGTATATGATCCTTAATATACATTAAAACAAAGTGTAGTGTAAAAACATATTTTATAGATACAATATATGAAAACAGTTATTGAGATACAAAATTCAAATACTAATCCATAATATCTAATAAACCATCATAAGTTGTTTTGGTGAAACATCCTTATTTTGTTTAGACACAAATTTTAATGGATTTTGGTACACCACTTAGCTTGTTAGTCATTCAAAAACTAATTTTTTAGCTCTTATCTATTCAAAAATTATGATAATGATTTGAAATAAGAGTTTATACAATAAACCATCGGTAATCCGTCGGTAATTACCGACGGATTGTTTTTTCATTATATGGCTCATTTTGATATTTCTAAAACCGATGAAAATTTAAGATTCCGTCGGTAATCCCTTGAAAATTACCGACGGGTTACCAATGAATTTAAAAGATATTTATTTACTGACGGATTACCGACGGTTTATTACTAACGGTCCTAATCCGTCGGTAGTCCGTCAAAATTCTAAATAATTACCGACGGTTTTAAATCCATCGGTAATTAAATCCGTCGGTAATTTACCGACGAAAAACCGACAGGTACCGATAAAAATAATTTCGTCAAAAATTGATCGGTTTTCCGTCGGTCGGATTTAAGGCCGTCGGTATTTCCGTCGGTTACATCCTTGTTTTCTTGTAGCATGTTGCCTAGAAGCTGGTGGTGGCGTAGACCGGGCATGCTTTCAACGATTTCTAGAGCATAATCATCATCATCACGTTTAACGAAATAGGGTAAGCCTGACAACCCTGAGGAGTTTAGGTTCAATGTCCTAAGCTGTGGGCAAGAGTAGCCTATAGCTTTTAAATCGAGTTTAATCAATGAGTGTGAGACCTCGAGGGTTTCAAGCAATGGAAGTTTTGTGATTGCCTTCACAAGTCCTTTTTTCGTCACACCTGATGAATAGTACATTCGAAGTCCAAGACTTCTCAGATTCCTCGATCTGCAAATAATTGCGTGTCAAGTTAAATCATAAACCAAGTATAAAGAACATTATCCTTCACATTTTAGTGCATTTAATCTCAGATTCTCAAACGTAGACTACATAATAAAAGGACGAACATTCTCGTTGCAAGACATACATTATTGAGTTAAAGTAACAGACAGTCGAAATTAAGTACATGTCCATCAATAGCAGATCGCCAGATCCAGTAAAAGAAAAAAAGACAAAACAATTCAGATCCTATTTCTTACCAGTCAAAATATATATACTCGGATATTTTGTGTCTAAACTATTCAGACAGTGAAATCAAATAAAAGCCATATAGCATTTGGAGATGTCCATGAAATGAAACCGTTTAAACTTATATAGGGCATACTCGAGGTCAGTATAAGAGATAGAGAGAAGAGATACCTATCGGCGATGTAGGTGAGGAGTCTATCGGTAGTAATGTTCTCGATGTGGATCTCCAGCAAGCCGCCCTGGCTGAGATCAACAGCGTGACGGCACAAGATATCGAAATCCAAGTCTCCCATTCCACTGTTCCTAAGGTCTCGCAAGTCGATCTTCTTCCACATCGAAGGGTCTTTACAGACGCGTCGCCACGGTGTGCACACCTTCTGAGCATTTTCAAGTATGTCAACTGCACCAAGTCGGCCCAGGATCAGAGACGTCAACTCCGACGGAAGCTCCGCCCAGTTCCTTCGCTCTTCTTTGTCTTTCATCATCAGCGGAGGCACGAAAGTAGACAACGACGTAGAGGAAGAGAATGAGAGAAATAAGAAGTGATAAGTTTCGGACCTTTCGTCTTCGGCGTGACTAATTTTAAAAATTTGGTCGTCGTATTATTTTTGTGTGTATCATTTAATATTCATGCCACGTATAAGTAGGTTCAGTAGTCGATAGCTCGAGAAAGACCAGACGCAAATATATAGAAATAAACACACTTATTATGCTTCCTTGATTTTCTGATACAGCCCCTTGATATCGGCATGAACAATCTTGCAACCATAAAGCACTTGCAACCATTATTACTACTCAAGTAATATCGGCATGAACAATCTTGGACTCTTTTGTTTCTATTTTAGTAAAAGTATACTTAATGCTTTATCAGTTAGAAGAATGAATTGTTTAAAGGTTGAATCATATGCGAAGCGAAAAAAAATGAGTTCATAATCGATACCCAAGTCAACACGCTTTCCATTTTCCAACAAGTTCAAATAATTTTCTTTAAAGTTTAGAAGCATATCACAATCTAAAAGATTTAGGGTTTAGGAATCATATAAAATGAAAAATTAATAATGGATTGTTTAATTTAATTTAGGGTAAGTAGTACATACCCAGGCAAGGAAGAAAGAGAAACCAAGAACCAAAAACTACAGCCGCCCTTTCTCTTTTTGCTCGCTAGACTAATTAATCCAATGGGTTTTTTTTTTTGAATAAAAATTAAATTTTCATAAAGTTTTAAACATATGAAACTTAATACTAGTTTCATAAAGTTTGTGTTTTTTTTTTTCCTGATACGGTTGTGTTATGGCTTTATTTCAAAGAACTAAATAGTTCTCTTTACTCACGTGTATAGAGAAGCTAACCGTCTTGCCGACGGGTTAGCAAACTATGCTTTTTCTATGCCATTTGGTTTTCAATCTTTAGATGTTTGTCCGGAAGAGTGTTTTCCGGTGTTGGAAGAGGATATGAGGGGTGCCTCGATTCCTCTAATGGTTTGTATGTAATTTTTTTAAGTTTGAATAAGAAGTAGGGGACCCCTCTCCATTACCAAAAAAAAAGTTTGTGTTTTTTTCTTTCGCATTTGCATTTTCCAAACTTAATACTAGTATTTTTTTTTTTAATAAACATATCTTGCACTCCATTCCATTAAGTAAAATGACCAAAATAGTATAGATTTGTTCGATATTACCTATATAAATTTAATAAAATAAAATAACGGATAAATGTAATAATTTACTAAACCCATCTCCAATATCATTTTCTATGTTTTTACTATAAAAAATTAATTCAAAAGTATAGTAGATTTGTTTTCTCTTTCAAATCATTTTATTTTTTATTCCATAAAAAGTATTGCAAAAGTAGAAAAATTAAATATGGACTAATTTGATATTGGATTCTATCTTAGAATGAGATATACTCGAATTGAGTAAAATTATATTCCGTATATAATAAATTTTAAAGAAAAAGTAGAGCATTATTGCAAATGACCTTAAAACCGATACTGAAATATCAACAAGCGCTCATGCATTTTCTAAATAAGACCATCCTTAAAGGTGGGATCTTAGGCTAAAATTTTGTATAGATAAGATATTTTCTTTGCAAAATTTTAGCCTAAGGGCACCTCCAATGGAGGTGCTTAGAGAATTATTAAAGAGTGCTCAACATTAAACTGAATTATTTTAATGCAAAAGTAGGAATAAAAATGAAGCATCGATGCTTAATTTAGGTTTTTAAGCAAATGTTAAGCACTGAGTATGTGTCACATTGTGAGTGGTTGAGGGAAAATTATTTTTAAAAAAATCTTTTTATATCTTTTTCATTTCACAAAAACTCTTCTCTCTTCTCCTCTTCTCTCTCAACCCTTTCGACAGCGATGGAAGCGATTCCGGCGAGGCGGCGTTTTGAAAGTACAAATCATTTAGAATGATGCTGTAAGGAAGATACGGATCCGTTTAGAATTGTAGGTATGGCTACTCAGATTGTACAACCAGACAACAACTAGCATATCACACTTATTTGTTCTCTCTTCTTGTCACTTTGGTCTTCTTCAAATTTAAATATAGACTTGCTTTGTATGTAATAACTGGATCACACATATAATTTTATTTAAAATATATTTTTATAAGCATCCATGATGGGTGCTTACCATTGGACATCAATATTTGTCAAGTTTTGCCAAAAGGTGCTTAAGTTTACAAATATCAAATTTTATCATTAAAAAGTTAGTAAGCACCCATAATGGATGCTTACCATTGGAGATGGTCTAAGATCCCACCTTTAAAGATCCCCTAAGGATACTGTAACAACGAACATAGAGAAAAAAATAGATATGAAACAAGTTTATAATTAAGTTGCCAGTTGGAAGGATCATCATATATATACCACATGTTTTCTGGCACCTTAAGAAATCATTGTCAACCTCAATATATATGTCAACACCACCAGTGGCAGAGCTAGTATTTGTCAACCTCCATCCGTTCTTATATTGATGATCTTTTAAGTTTTTTCTCTCTCTAAAATATATGATTTTTTTCACAAATCTATACAAAATTAAATTTTTTTTATTGTTTTCAATAATTTATATTCTGCATTATTTTTTTCTATTAGTTGAATTGTGTTTAGGTAAATATTAAATAATATTTTTCTTTAGAAATAAACAAAATTTAAATTATTAATATGTGACTGTTGCTCAAAATATCATTTATTATAAAATTGAGGGAGTATATTTGATTCTCTTGAAACATATTGTTTCTCTAAATCCCAGTAAGGTTAAAGTTTATACACATGCCTAAATCAAAGTGTTCCAGGTCAGGATTACTATCAAAAATGGCGTTCAAGCCACTTTCTGTTAGTCTTGCTCTCAAGAAGCTGGAGGTGACATAGTTCAAGCATGCTTTCACCAGAACTAGTCTATGATCATCATCACAATGTAAGCTAGAAGGCATGTAACCAAGCAATTTAGCTTCAATATATTAAGCCGTGGACAAGAATGACCTATAACTTTAAAGTTTACTTGATTAGACAAATAATTAGCTAAACCAAAAATTAGGAAATTGTTTTTTTCATAGTTTGACTGTTAAGCATATATATTATGATATTTGTTTGAGCCATACAGTATAATAACAGAAATAGTCTCATAATTAAAATCAGCGCATAGTTTTTGCAACTTACAATCACGAACTCAAAGCTTAAGAGTTTAAAGGAAATAAGAAAATTTGAAACTACAGTACCAAGTACCAAAATGGAGAAAAGAGGAGACATGAACGAGTTCATAAGTTGACAAGACCAACAAAAGCAAATACTGTTTAGAGAGATTCAATACCTAGTCCCGATAGTAGTCTTAGGTATCTGCTAAGTCATACTATATCTCTAGATAGTAGTAATCATCATCTGAGCCATCATCAGATGATGAGTCAAAATCAGAAACAACAAACGTTAGTTCGTATGGATAATCATCTGGTGAGGCGTTTGGGTGTCTAAACTCTTTGATCCTCTCCAAACATTTCTTGAGAAGATCTTCTTCGAAGTTAATGTTGAAACCCTTGCGTAAATCAAGGTGTTCCAACTGCAGACAACCATTAAGAATGGCCTTCAAGCCATCGTCAGTCAGTCTGTCCCCAAGAAGCTTGAGGTGACGTAGTTTGGGCATGCTTTCAGCGATTGCTAAGGCATAATCATCATCATCGGCATAATCATCATCACCATTGACGAGAGGGGGACTGTAACCAAACTCTTCAAACCCATCATACCCTGACCCCGAGGAGTTTAGCGTAAATGTCTTTAGCTGTGGGCAAGCCTTGCCTATAGCTTTTAGATTCAGGCTTAAACATGTGTGTGAGATCTCGAGGGTTTCAAGCAATGGAAGTTTTGCGAGTGCGCTCACAAGTCCTCTGTTTGTCGTATATGAAAAGTATATCCCAAGTCCAAGACTTCTCAGATCCCTTGATCTGCAAATAATTGGGTGTGAGGTTAAATCATAAACTAAGAAGAAAAACATGATTAGAAATTCGAAAAAGTACTAATCAACTTAATTAGAAGCATGTAAAATAAGTAGAGCAATGCGTATGGGATGACTATTACATGGCTCAAAAAACCTCATGTGATGCTTTAAACAAGTCTGATAAGAGTTGTATAAGCTGATGATATTCTCATATATGATAACCTAACTACTAGTTTTCATTAACAATGGCAAAGGATAAGTAATAAAGTAAGTATGATGTTATAGTAACGGAAATGTGAGAACTACCAAACGCAGAGTACATAAAAGAAAACTTTAATTAAGTTGCAAGACCATCCAAGGACCAAAGTCCATTACTAGATCACCAGATTCAGTAGAAGGAAAAAGTCATGATAAAAATGTGATAAACAAAATAAACAAAAAAACAGTCCAAAATCAACAAATTTTGCCCTAATCATCACGATAGAAAAGAAAAAAGAACAAACACATTTCCGATATTTCTTACGTACCAGTCCTATAATCATTTTGTACGTAACTATTCACAGACAGTGAAATCAAATGAAAGCCATATATTCATCTAAACAACAGTTGGCAATGTCCATGAAATGAAACCGTTTAAACTTGTATAGCGTCTACTAGAGATCAGTGTAAGGGAGAGAGAGAAGAGATACCTATCGGCGATGTAGGTGAGGAGAGAATCGGTGGCGAAGCTCTCAAGGTGGATCTCCAGCAAGCCGCCCTGGCTGAGATCAACAGCGTGACGGCACAAGATATCGAAATCCAAGTCTCCCTTCTCGCGGTTCCCCAGGTCTCGCAAGTCAATCTTCTTCCACATCCAAGGGTCTTTACAGACGCGTCGCCAATGTGTGCACACCTTCTGAGCGCTTTCAAGTATCTCAACTGCACCAAGTCGGCCCAGAATATCACACGTCAACTCCGAGGGAAGCTCCGCCCAGTTTCTTGGCCCTTGTTTCTTCAGCGGAGGTTCCAAAGCAGACAACGGCATAGAGGAGGAGGAAGACATTTTTGAGGGTAAACAAAAGAAAATAGGGTTTTCAAATCAGTGAAATAAGAAGTGAAGTAGTAGTGTCCGAACCTTTTACGGCTCCTGTCTCTTAATCAAATTAGGTTTACGTAGGATTATGTGTATGCGGTACCAACTCATGCCACGTATAACAAGTAAAACTCATGCCACGTATAACCATTAGGCTCTCTAATTTGATACAACGAGTAACACTCACGCGCTATTTAAGTTACCTTGATTCTTTTCTAATTAGGCAAAACATATTTTCAAATTCCTACCAAAAAAAAAAAAAAATACATTTTTTCATCAACACACATATATTGGGGAAAAATAAAACGTGGAATAGATTCGTTTCTGTGTTAGTAAAAATATACATAATTCGGTTTTATAATGTTTTATTATCAGTTGCATCTTATATTATACATATATGTTAAATTTGATAGAAATAAATAATGGATAAATGTGGTTAGTTAGCTAAATGAATAGTTAAAGTTGAATGAATGATATGCAATATCGTAATCCAGGGTTACTTTAATTATGATTCCAGTGTACAGACGCATCGCCATGATTCTCCACACTTTCTGAGCGTTTTCAAGTATCTCAAATGTCTCGAGACGGAGCAGAATCGAACACAGCAAATCCGGTTGAAGATCCGCCCAGTTTCCAGACGACTCTTCGCCTTTCATCAGTCGGAGGCACCGGAGTCGGAAGTAGAGTACGGCGGAGAGGAGGAACAAGTAGCTAGTTCTGGATGTTTCGGCTTCTGTCTCTAATTTCTAGTTTTGTCCTCGTAGTACATTATGTATTTATAATGAAAATAATTTAGTCCCAATGTTTCAACAACTTAATATTATGAGCCTCCCTCAAGCTTGCATGCAAGTTGCTAAAATCCTTAAAAACCGGATAAGAGGCGAGTGACGTGCGTTGCAAGAAACATGTCAAATCTGTATTTACTCTGCTAAGGAATTTACACGCTCAAAATCTACAACAAGGCAGAGAGACACACATCCACTGCACGTAAAACCTCGACATATTCAAGCAATGTAAATTTTGAGATTACATTACAAGTCTGTTGTTCCAAGTTAAATAGTACTGTACATTGAAAGTTTAAGGGTTCTCAGATTTCTTGATCTGTAAATAATTGCATGTAGAGTTAAATCATGACATAAACTAAGTAAGAAGAATAAAAATATATCAAGAAAAACTCATAATAGTATTAATCAACTCGGGACATGTTGTATCTTTAGAATAATAAACTCTATAGTCTTAATCTGTTCATACTCAAAAGCTACACTAAGGAAAAAAGTGACACACACAAGTCCACTGAAACTACTTACAAACTTACTAAATAGAGGACATGAACGAGTTCATATCACCAGTCTCGCCATTTTGTCATTGCATTATTCAGAATGATCCGACCACTTATCCTCCATCTACTCATAAGACGAGTTATATATAATCTGAATGCTCATTGCTGCCATATGAGTAAATATTGTAATGTCAAAGTCTTAGTCACTTTATTTAATTGAGTCATAATCGGAATGCTCATTGCTGCCATATGAGTAAATCTCATAGCAATAAATCATATGAAGTGATTCTAAGGCTTCTCAGATTACTCATAATTATTTGTGTGTAAAGCCAAAATTGGTGTGGTTCTTAAGTCATAGTCTCATATATATATAGAGAGAACCTATAGGCCATGTAATCGAGGATATAATCAGTACCAAAGTCTCCAAAATCGATCTCAACCAACCCACCCTGGCTGCGATCAACGGCCTGACGGCTATCTATGTCAATCGAGGTTGTACTTGGAACTTGCCCTGTCATCGCGGTTATCTATGTCAATCTTTTGCCACATCCAAGGGTCTTTACAGACGCTACGCCACGATTTGCAAACTTTCTGAGCATTTTCAAGTATCTCAACCGCGCCAAGCCGAAATAGGATCGATGAGGTCAGGTCCGGTGGAAGCTCAGCCCAGTTTCTGTATTCTCCATCCTCCATCGCCGAGAAGCCAACAACGAAGAGGAAAAATAAAGTAAATACTTTAAACCCTAAACCACATTACATTACTTGATACTTACGATATTAGACCATCCTCATTGCAAGGATCTTAGGGGAGTCTCTCTTGGGCCTAACCATTATCGCTAGTTAAGATAAAAGTCATGCGCTTAAAGCTTCTTAAAAGCTCAAAGGAAATAAGGAGTAAAGACAAAAGCATCAATGTCTTGAAAGGACTTTGACGAGACCAACAAAAGCATCAATGTCCTTGCATTATTGAGATTCAATACCTAGTCCGATATATAGTTTACTCGCACCTAGGATTCATAGTTAATCTCAAACATCGTCACCACCATATAGGTAATCATCTGAATTTGGATCGGTAAAATTGTTATCACATGGGTAATCAGTGGTTGATGCATAGGGGCGTCGATCAGATCCTATGATATTAAAGTCAGAGCATCATTATTGATGGTCTTACAAGTATATAGTTAAAAATTATTTAAGGACAATCTAGCTTTACATTGAAGTACTCTCAGTTTCTCATAGGGAAAATTCATTTGTACATTACAGTAATAGCAAAGATTCTGATATATGATAGAATGTCCACTTAGGTTCGCCAAGAATCCAACGTGAATGATGTAATCAGCAGGTTGAGCCATTTGGGGAGTCTCAAATCTTGAATCCTTGATCTCAAAACATCATCTCTCCAGATTTCCAACAAGGTTAATGTTTAGACACTTGTGTAACTCGAGGTGTTTCAGGCGAGGACAACCTTCAAGAATGGCGTTCAATCCCGTGTCCGATAATCCATTCCTGAAAAGCCGCAGATGGCGAAGACCGGGCATTGTTTCGGCTATTGCTAGAGCAACCTTGTCACAACACCCCAAATTACCAACGCAGCTTAGCTTTAACGTCCTTAGATTTGGACAAGACTGGCCTACAACTCTCAAATCTTGTTCTCTGATTGACACATATGAAAGCTCAAGTTCTTCAAGCATTGGGAGCTTCATGACTACTTGGGAAACTCCACTGCTCATTACTGGATCATGGTCAACATATCCAAGGCGTTTCAGATTACTTGATCTGCAAAAGAGTTTAATGCAATACACAGAGTTAAAAATCATGATCCCATGCTAATCACAAGACAACAACTCATCTATTCCTAGTACTTATCAACTCATAAACATACCATTAAGACTTGTTATTACATTCAAACAAAAATTTGGATGGTCGTGGTGAGTTTTAGGGATTGAAAAGAAAAGAACCTGTCGGCGATGTAGGTGAGGAGAGAAGTTGTGATGTAGTGGTCAATTTCGATCTCGAGCAAGCCTCCCTGGCTGAGATCAACGGCGTGACGGCACATGACCTCGAAATCTTGAAGCAAGCCTTCGAAGTTTCTTGGGACACGCATGTCGATTGTACGCCACATCGATTGGTCTATACAGACGCGTCGCCATGATCGGCATACTCTCTGAGCGGTTCGCAGTATCTCGATCGCGCCGAGACGGTGCAGGATCGATGAAATTATTTCGGCCGGAAGCTCTGCCCAGTTTCTATACTCGCCGTTCTTTATCGCCGGAGGTAAAGGGGAAGAAGAAGAAGACGGCGAAGAAGCCATCGGTATTGTTTGTGTTTTACAATTTTACAATTAGGTCCTCACGGACACGGTTTATGAAGCCAAGCCAAGCCTACTTAAAAATTATCTTCGGACTTGGGCTTAGGCCCATGAACACTTGCAATCAAATAAATATACAAAAAAATATCTGAAATATGTTATATGTGTTATATGTATATTGACTAAATCAATGTTCATATGTTGGTTAGAAGAAAAAAAATCAAAATTTTTTTTTTTTTTGAATATAATGTTAATTAATTCAACAAAAAAATAACGTTTGGTTACATCATATGCAAAAGTTACTGAAAAAAAACAGAATCAAAGATTCCATGAATCTACTAAAGTCCTCTTGATGCCAACCAAGCCCGTAAGCCTGCTTCGTACCTTTTATCTCCTTCTTTTTGAATGACTAAGAGTTTGTTCCGAACTTGTTTATCGAGCCAAGAGATGAGATTAGTTGCTGAGGTTGGGGGCTCTCCATGCTTCCTTCCATTACGCTCCCGCCATAGAGAATGAATCGAGATTTGAAAACTGTAACGAATCAAGAAAGTTTGGAGGAGATCTTGGTGAGTTTTCGCAACGTTGTTGACTACTTCTTCCCAGATCGTAGAAAAGTGGCGTTGGAGTAGGTGTTTAGCAATAGCAGTCCAGATTTCCGATGAGTAGCTGCAGCTAAAAACATATGATTCCTTGTCTCAGTGTGAGTGTTACACAAAACACATGTTGACGTTGAACCTGTGTTCCAGCACAACATTCGGTCTGCCGTTGAGAGACGATTATGCATCGCAAGCCAAGTACAAAAGGAGTGTTTAGGAGTCGCGTGAGCGAACCATACTCCTTTATACCAAGCAACTTTGTTCGATGTTATCCGAATATTGTTCCAAGTGTCTTTTGTGGAGAACGAATCTTTATAAGAGTCACCTCTCCCTCTCCATAACAATAAATCTGGTTTTGTAATTTCCATGTTGGCCCTCTTCTGTACTAATTCGTTCTCAATCTGATTCAAAATATTAAGTCGGTGTCTACGCCTTCGTCGAGAGCTCCAAGCCTCAGCCAAAGAAGCATTTAGACTAATGCCCATGTTAAGTATTCCACGTCGACCAATTTTATCCATTAGACATCCTAATGTAGACCAGTTATCAAACCAGAAGGAGGTGAATAAGCCGTTACCCACTTCACTCTTACAGAACGTCTTGGCTAACTCCCGAAATTTCAGAAGTTTGTGCCATATCCACGACCCTGTACTTGCTCTCTCCCGAATAGACCAGAAAGATACACCGTTTAATAAATTGGTAGAGACCCATTTTACCCAGAGCGATGGACTATTCGAAACAATTCGCCAAATCAATTTCAAACAGCACACATTATTTACTTCCGTCAAGGGACGCATGCCTAGACCGCCCTCATCCTTTGGCTTACAAATCTCCTCCCAAGCCACCTTTGCTTTCCTTGGATTTAATTCTGGCCCAGACCACAAAAAAGCAGAGCACAGCTTGTCAATTTCTTGGATACATTCCCTCGGGAGTCTAAAAGCAGCTAGCCAAAAATTTGTGATGCTCCTTAAAACTGAGCTTATCAAGCTTAAAACTGAGCCAAAAATAAAAAATTTGCATCAGTTAATAATATAAATATTAGTATTCTTAATACTCTAAGGATTATAGTTGCATCATTTGTAAATAGTTTTCAGTTTTCACTAGTAAACTTGATTAATTGAAATATATATTTTAAATGGTAATATACTAATATGTAATTAAACTCACCAGATAATTAACGCACCAACTGAAAAAAGAACTCCATAACATCGTTCTCTAGCGACTTTACAACACGTCTCTCACAACAACTTCAAAAGTTCAAAGGAAATAAAGAACAGTGGAACACTAGTACCAAGATAGAGAACAAAAGCATTTGAACTTGTTCATTAGTCACAACAAAAATTAGAAAATATTACTCGATAAGGATGTAGTCGGCCTACAAATGTTGTTGCCGCCTTAATAGCAGTAGAAGCCATCATCTGAATCATTATCCGTTGAGTCATTAGGGAGTCTCAAATCTTTGATCCTCTCAGAACATCGCTTCATGAGATCACCAACAAGGTTGATGTTGTAACACTCGCGTAAATCAAGGTGTTCCAGGTGAGGACAACCATCAAAGATGGCGTTCAAGCCCTTGTTGGTTAGACCGTTCCCTAGAAGCTGGAGGTGGCGTAGTTGAGGCATGCTTTCTGCGATTGCTTTGGCATTATCATCAAACCCACAATTTGAAAACATGATTTCAGGGTTGCGTTTTAGCTTCAATGTCTTCAGATTCGGGCAAGACTGGCCTATAAATCTCAGAGACTCTCCTGTAAATAAGCAGTATGAAACCTCGAGCTCTTCAAGCAATGGAACTTTCGAAACTGCTTTAGCAACTCCCTCATCTGTTAACGGCATGCACCTTACAAGTCCAAGGCTTCTCAGATTACTTGACCTGCCAATCATTGTTGGTAAATAAAGTCAAAAACATAATCTAATTAAGATCATAGAGTAGACCAAAGACAGATGCAAATTAAAATTATCTTTTTCTTCCTTTTTCCTTTCATATCACAAGAATCAAGAACAGACTTCAACCATTTTAGACGTCAAAAGCCATAACAATCCGAGGATGGTCAAAGTAAATGTTTTCTTCTAACAAAATTGTAAGAACAAAGGAGCAAGTAAAAAGTCACAAACGTGAAACATAAACTTTGCCTTGTAGAAGAAAACAAAACATCAAACCCTATTAACAACACTTGGTTGACAAAACTACTGATTCAACATATCCCCAAGCAACTCAATGTCCGAAGGTGCATTCATCAGAGATTCAGTAGAAGGATAGAGCCATATATAGAGACTAGAAAAAAAAAAAAAAGATCTAGTTCCGTGATCACAAAATCCTCCAATCACTCTAACCCTAGAATTAGCAATAACCAAAATTAGCGTGTGGAGATAGAGATAGAGGGAGAGAGGAGAAACCTATCAGTGATGTACTTGATGAGATCATTAGTACCGTAGTACCAAATCTCGATCTCAACCAACCCGCCTTGGCTGCGATCAACGGCGTGACGGCACATGCCCTCGAGGTCGTACTTGAAGAAAGCCCTGTCATCACGGTTGTCTATGTCAATCTTACGCCACATCGAAGGGTCTTTACAGACGCGATGCCACGATTTGCACACTTTTTGAGCGTTTTCAAGTATCTCAATCGCTCCAAGACGAACCAGAATCGATGAAGTCAACTTCGGCGGAAGGTCCGCCCAGTTTCTCCACTTCTCGTCTTTAATCATCAGCGAAGGCACGGGAGTTAACGACGCTGAAGAGGCGGAAGCCATTTTTTCTTAGGGCAAATCAAATCGTCAAATGAGAAGTGGAAGTTACAAAATATGTAATTCGTGCCAGCCAAGTTAGTTACTCGGATTGACTATTGGGCTTAGATCTACAATAACTGGGCCTATTCGATAGCTGAAGACTTGAGAAAGACAAGACTCAAAGTCAAAGAAAGAAACTCATGTCTTTTTTCTTATTTCTTTGTTCAATCATATGCCTTTAGTTTAATTTTCAAAGTTGCAAAGTGGTGTTATGCTCCATGTTTCCCTCTTTGTAAGTGATTTAACATTCCATCACGAAGTTAGATCCCCTTGTACTCTGGTTGAAATCATCATGCACTAGCACCAATTTCTCAAAATCACCTTTTGTTATTCCACGGCAATTTTCAAGTCTTAGGCTTCTCAGATTGCTTGAACTGCAAATAATTGTGAGCAAAAAAGAGTTAAGAACATGCTTTGAAAAGAGATAAAAAGAAGGATAAAGAAGCTAAAGCTCTGTTTTTTCATGTCTAACCCTAGAATTAGCATTGTTCAACAAGTGAAATCAAGTTTCTTTTGAAGAAAGTCAAAATATTTATTGAAGAAAACCAAAAACTGGCACATGGAGAGAATAGAGATAGAGAGAGACCGAACCTATTAACGATGTAATTGAGGAACTTTTATCAGTGCCGAAGTAATAAATGTCAATCTCAACCAAGCCACCCTGGCTACGATATTCAACTGCGTGACGACACATGATTTCGAGGTCGTTGTCCTCATGACTCCCAAGTCTTCTAGGTTTTTAAGGTCGATTTTTCACCACATCGAAGGGTCTATGCAGTCTGCAGACACGACGCCACGATCAGCACACTTTTTGAGCGGTTTCAAGTATCTCAATCACGCCAAGCCGGAGCAGGATCGATGACGTCAATTTCGACGGGAGCTCCTCCCAGTTTCTACGTCCATTGTCTTTCATTGCCGAAGACAAAGACAAGACGGCCATGAATGAGAAAACCGGTGAAAACGGCAACAATGAAGAAGAAGAACCCTAACGAATAAGGATCAAAGACTTGTGTATCCATGCACCCATCTTAACGTTACAGTTATACACCCTTAACAAAATCAGTTCGGATCATAAAGTATATATTAAGCCCACTAAAGTATTCTCTTGGGTTCAGGCCTTTAAGTATTAGTTTTACTGGGTTATAGGTTAATAATCACTATGGAGATCAAGACCTCTGACTTCTTAAATTTTATAACTTGCATTGTAAGACAATACATGATAAATTCAGTTCATTCTTAAAGAGTTTACAAAAGCAACAAGGGACACACAAGTCCGTTCAAAACATCAACCTAATAATAAAGACAGAGGACTCATTACCACTAGCAACAGATAGTTGACTTTACTCCAATAAGTAGTACGCATTGTCATCGCTATCATCTGAGCAAAAATCGTCGTCTTCTTCAGATGAATCAGTGTCGGAAGTGACATGATATGAGGAATCTGCTGTTGAGTCATCAGGTCGTTTGAAATCTCTGATCCTCTCAGAACAGCGTTTCTCGAGATCCCGGACAAGGTGAATGTTGAAGCAGCGGCGTATATCAAGATGTTCCAAGTGAAGACAGTTGTCAAGAATGGCGTTCAAGCCTGAGTTGGTTAGCCTGTTCCCAAAAAGCTCGAGGTGGCGTAGGTTGGGCATGGTTTCAGCAATTGCTAGGGCTTCATCATCATATTTAACCGGCGAAGTTAAAAAAGGACGGTTTAGCTTCAATGTCTTCAGGAGTGGGCAAGACTGGCCTATAGTTTTCAAATCAAATCCTGGATAGCCGTGAAAAATCTCGAGGTCTTCAAGTAATGGGAATTTCATGACTGCATTGACAAATCCCTTGGATGTTAGTGGATGGGTCATTGCAAGCCTTAGGCGTCTCAGATTACTTGATCTGCAAATGAAAATTGTGACAAAATTATCAACACAGATGAACTCAGAAGCATATATATACCACTTATAAGTTATAACCATAGTCAATCTTTTAGTATGATGGAGAAACAAGGAAAAACGTATCACAACAAACCAATATGCTTTAGAAAACTAAGATGATGAGTCAATGATATGTCATATGTGTATGAGATTAAGTGTTCCTCAAGCTAAGAACAGTTTAGCAGCGTTAAATCCAGAGTGAGTTAAGTACTCGTACAAACAAATATGATCCTAAACATCAAAATCTCAGAGAACACTGCTTAACCAAAACCACAGATTTAACAAATGACCTCTCTAACTCGCAAGGCAATACACAATCCCAAGGCATTCACTAGACAAGACAAATGCAACAATTGACACAAAAGTCACACAATAACAAATACTACCGTAGAAACGTAATCAATATCCAGAGATTTTTCCTGAAACCAATAAAAATTCTAGAAGAATAGAGCATAGAGATAATAACCTTTCGGCTATGTAGGATAAGAGACGATCGTCCCCGTAGTGTTCCATGCTGATTTCAACCAAACCGCCTTCGCTGAGATCGACGGCGTGACGACACATCTTATCCTTGAAGTAACCAACGGTCCCGTTGTTTCTCATGTCGATTTTGCGAAACATGGAAGGCTGTTTACAGACGAGTCGCCACGATCTGCATACCTTCTGAGCGTTATTCAGTATCTCGACCGTGGTGAGACGGATCAGAATCAAAGATATTAACTCCGCCGGAAGCTCCGCCCAGTTTACGGACGGCGGCGAAGAGGATGAAGCCATCTCTCAGAGAATCGGGAAATGACAAATCAGTGGACAACACTAATGATGTGAAGATTTGATCATTGGAGATGTTTAGGCTCAAATTTACTATATAATCCTCGTCGCTCTAACAGGCTCAATAATCGAATGACATAATGGACCTAGGCCCATGATTAAAGTGATTTCCGATGACAAATTTGCATTGCAATGAAGTTTTCAAAAGCGTCACAAAAACCAAAGAGACTAATGTTGTCAAGACAAGGTATTAAAAAAACCAATCGGCCATATTGGTATCAAAGGGGTAATCAGCTGTAGAGTCGTTGGGGCGTCTCAAATCTTTGATCCTCACAGAACAATGCTTCTCCAGATCCCCTACAAGGTTGAAAATTTGATCATTGGAGACGTTTAGGCTCAAATTTACTATATAATCCTCATCGCTCTAACAGGCTCAATAATCAAATGACATAACGGGCCTAGGCCCATGATTAAAGTGATTTCCGATGACAAATTGCCTTACAATAAAGTTTTCTAAAGCGTCACAAAATCCAAAGAGATTGATGTTGTCAAGATATCTTAGAGTCGTTGGGACGTCTCAAATCTTTGATCCTCTCATAACAACACTTATCTAGATACCCTACAAGGTTGATGTTGAAACACTGGCGTAAATCGAGATGTTCCAAGTGAGGACAACCGTCGAGAATGGCGTTCAAGGCGTTGTCTATTAGTCTGTTACCAAAAAGCTGGAGATGACGCAGTTCGTGCATTGTTTTAGCAATGTCTAAGATATGATGATCAGAATCAAGCATAATTTTTAGCAATGTTTATAACACCATTAGGACACTCAGAGGGAAGGCGCGGCATGTACGCTTGACAGTTTAGCTTCAATATCTTCAAATGCGGGCAAGCATAGCCTATAGCTTCCAAATGCAGTCGTCTGATGTTGCAGTATGAAAGCTCGAGGTCTTCAAGCAACGAAAGTTTCATGACCGCTTTGAAAAGTCCCATGCCTGTTATTTGATCGCACTTAACAAGTCTAAGACATCTCAAATTACTTGATCTGCAAAGATATAGTTGCAAGTAGAGTTAATAACATTGATCTAAGAGATAGAATAACAACAACAATATACAAAAATAACTATCATTTTAAAACTATACTAGTAGATTTTCTTGTTTCTTTTGGCCAAATTTGATCTACCATAACCATAGCAAGATGCGGAATCAAATCAAAATCACTTCCAAAATTCAAAGATGGGAAAATTTTCTTGTGTGCTTGCCACTTATAAGGAGATATATTTGTTGTTCTTTTGCTGACTAGAATTAGATCTAACCCTAAAAATGAGCAAAACCATTTTATAATCAAAATAATCGCACTTATGTAGACAACTTCATAAATACCGGAACTACAAATGAACTAATGCTTTCTCTGCCTTCCCTCTTGGTTTCGTTCATGGAAGATGCGGCATAGATAGAATTAAAAGACAATTGTGGGCATGCGAGTTCTAGGGGAAACGAGAGAACCTATCAGCTATGTAGGTGAGGAGGGATTCGGTGCCAAAACTTCCAATGTCTATCTAGATCAACGGCGTGACACATCATACGTCCAAGGCGATTCAGGTAACTTGATCTGAAAACAAAACATGGTTGCATGTAAAGTTAAAAACATCAAATAAGTCATATAAAAGGAAAATGCAATGCAACTTCCCAAAATAAAAAGTTAAAAGAGTATTTGCGAGTTATATACGCTACTTACGTAAAAACATTTTAAGAAATCTGATCGGAGACTGGAATAACTCTTATTATTATTATGTTAGAAAATAACTCAAAACTAAACACCAAAGCTCATGCCTTTGATCACAACTTAATCAAAGTACAGTAAAACCTCTATAAATTAATACTCGATAAATTAATAATCTGCATAAATTAATAAATTTCTCAAGTTGGGACTAGTGTAATTTTATATACATTTCGATAAAATAATAAAATAATAATTTTTTTGAAAATCGTTTATAAATATATGGTCCCATCAATATTATAAATTAATAATTAGGTAAAATTTTCAAAATATATGTATATATAGACACATTAGTTTTTGTTAGAGTTTATTTCTAATATTTTACTATATAAAAAATTGTTAGCATTCTCTTACATAATAATTATTATTTTCTTTGTAATTGATTATATAAAATACTAATTATTATGATTAAATCTTATTTTAAAATATATTTTTTTGAAAAGCTTTTCCAAATTAAGAAAACTTCTCTATTAATTTATCGATAAATAGAAAACTTCTTTTCCTATTCCTATCATAATTTACTTTAAACATATCTTGTCACTAAGCAACTTGTTAATGATATCTTGGGCTGCAAATAACATTGATGCTTATCCAACAGTCATGTAAAGTGATGCATACTAGCAAAGAAAAAAACAAATCAAATGAAAATGGGCGAGAGCAGAAGAAATAGAAAGGCCTATTTATAAAAGAGAAATTCTCTTGGATAGCAGCACCTTTTAAGTTTTTTCCTCCAAAAATACCACAATTTGTTTTTTATTCCAAAAATACCATAGACATATTAAAATCTGATTTTTGAAGGTGTATATTTTTTTTTTATGTTTGGGTTGACTATATTATATTTATGATATAGTTAATAAGGGGGTTTTAGTGTTTAGGATTTTTTTAGAGTGTTAGTTTTAATTTTGTGGTAATTTTGGAAAAAAATTATTTTAATGGTATTTTTGAAAAATAAAACTCATAATGGTATTTCCAAAAATTCTCGGTATTAAAATATAGGGATCCGATGGATGACTGAAAAAGGGATAATACAATTTCCATATGTTAATAAGATTATAAGTGGTTGAGTTGATAATAATAAAAGGGATAATAATATTTTTAGTACGTTTAAAAAAAAAACTAGTACATACAATATTAATAGAAATTGTGAGATAGAAAAGAAGAGAAAAAAAACATTTTAGTAGATAGAGATATAGCGAGAGAGCATCGGCCATATCGGCGGAATAATAATTACGGATCCGGAAGAAGGGACGGAATGCTAAATCCATTTTTAAAACATATTTAATCTAAACACTTAAGTTTAAATATACTTTTGTTGATAAAAACATGTTATATAGTAAAAATAAAAATTTCAGTCAAAAATATCAAAATAATTTACTTATAATCTGATTTGTGAAAGAAATAAAATAATGGGGGAATTTCAAAAATACCCCTTTTCATATACCTCTTTTTAAAAATACGCCATTTTCAAACTTTATCAAAAACCCCACTAAAAATGTTGAAATTTATCCAAATATGTGTGTAAACTTATAAATATATACACAAATTACCTTTATATGTGTATAAAACTTTATATAACTTTCATAAATAGCGTAAAAATAAATTATAAAAACCTTATAAAAACCGTATAAATCCTTTTAAAAACCTTTTAAAAACCTTATAAAACTTATAAAAACGATTTAAAACTATTTAAAACATTTTAAAATATTTTTATCGAATCTCCCAGTATTAGTTATTATATATAGAAGTACCTTATAAACTATATTAAACTTTATAATGTTTTATATTTAAAAAGGGGGTATTTTTAAAAAGAGGTACACCAAAAGGGGTATTTCTCAAAAATTCTCTAAAATAAATACGTTTTACATGTTGAATTTGTACACCAAAACTTACGGACCCGAAAGAGGAACGGGATGCTAGTCGGTTTGTTTTCAACATACTAAATTTAACACTTAAGTTTGGAAATATTTGGTTGGTAAAAAACATGTTGTATAGTTAAAAATAAAATTATCAAAATAATTTACTTAAGATATTATTTGTGGAAAACTAAAATTAAGGTTATTAAATTTAAATACGTATAAACATGTTGAACTTATACACTACTTACGGACCCGATGAAAGGGACGGGATGCTAAGTCCGGTTTGTTTTCAACGTATTTAAATATAACAACTTAATTTTAAAAATATTTAATGATAATATATTTAAAAACCGGTTTATTAAAAAAAAAGGTTGGATAAAGCCATAACAATGATTTTAAAATATGAAAACTCTAATCTAACTTTTCTATTTGTTTTTAAAAATTATTAAAAAAGAAACTAGCCAAAAATGAAAAAAGTCATATGGTAAAAAACGTTGATGTGTAGTTTACTAATAAGAAGTGAAAAACCAAAACTTTTTCATTTAACTTTTTAGAAATCATAGTCATTATTAATAATCTAAAAAATAAAATTAAAGAAAGTAAAGTATACCTGCAGTTTCATAAGAGGACTTAAGGAGATAGAGGATCGCTCCCTATCGTACCGGTGACGTAGTTGCACAATACCCCCTCGACCTTGAAGAAGAAGAAGAAAAAAAAAAAGGAAAATTAATCGGGAGTTTCGTTCACTGCTCACAAAAGGATTGTGTATGTAGTAGGTATTACAACTAGTCTAAGAAACTCAACAGATAGAGATAAAAAAAACTCAACATATGTATTATGTATGTATTATATAAATTAAAAAAAAAAACTCAACAGATAGAGATAGAAAATATAACCTGAGAGGAGCATTGGCCAAAGATTGGAGAGTAACACTAGTCGCAACTCTCATGACTCTGCATATTGACGTGTTTCCTATAGCTGAGTTTCCACAACACCATTGTAAGACTTCGTCAAAACGAATTATAATACCTTCAAAATATCAACACATAGAGATAGAGAGATATAGAGATATACATAACTTGAGAGCATCGGCCAGAGATTGGAGAGTAAATATTAGTCGTAATGCCCAAGTTCGTATTAAGACCGCAGAAAACAAAACAAAAACAGAGCAAATCATGTGAATCGGTGATGACTCAGCTGATCGACGAGTTTCCATATAAGAACTTCGTCACCGAATCTTCTTCATCACTCCGACCATCCAATTGTAAGAGATTCTCTGAACCACTGAATCGATTCAGAAATAGATCTTCAGAGTAGTAAAGAACGAGAACGAGGATATGGTTATTCTAGGGTTTTTTTGTGTCTCCTCAAGAACGAGAATTTTGATTTCGGTAATGAAAGCTAAAGCAAAAGGCTGTATTTAAAGAGGCTCTCGGTTAATTATTATTTTCCTTTTCTTTTGTTACCGTTAAGCATTACATATTTCCTTTTTACTGTTAAGCAAAAGTTACCGTTGCCTACAACAACGTTTGATTTTTGTTTTTTAAACCAATGTTTTATTGGTTTGATTATCTTATAACTTTATTTAATATATTTAGTCAGAGAAATAATTAATTGAGAAAGGTGCCGTTATTGTAACAGAGGCATGAGGCTATAGAGGCTAGAGACTACAGACTAGAGACATGAGACATGAGACATGAGACTTGAGTTTGTTATTCCTTCCTTGTTAAGTATTATATATTTCCTTTACTGTTTGGCAAAAGTTACCGTTGCACACAACGTTTTGATTTTTTAAAATATTTTGTAAGTGAAAGAAGTAATTAAGGTACCGTTAAAATTTGTAAGAGAGACACGAGACTTGAGAGACTATATATATATAGCTAGACTAAAGATTAGAGTGACATGAAACATGACTCATGAGACTAGGTTAGATTTGTATATTTTTAAAAATCAAAATGCTTTTTTATTCATATAGATATTCTTCAAATTAACCAAGCTTCTCTCCTATATATCAATCCTTCAGTGAAAGAGAAACCTAGACATAACCAAACATAGACATATTATTAGAAAATAGACAACAATTGTGATGTTTTTTTTCTTCTTCTGAAAAAAGCCTATAATATTGTTAGAAATAGACAAAACTTAGTAAAAATAATACATTAAATTTATTCGAGAAAGTAATAACATCACCAGCGGCTGTAAATCTAAAACTTTCTAGAGATATTTCGAAACGTCAAAACGCTCCGGTCAAGTTTTCATATATGACATGAATATATAATCAAATGTCAGTAAGTATGCCACGCCTTCTCTTATATTCCATAATCAACCTTTAATAACCTCCAATTTAAGATAAGTTCAATACACCACTCAAAAAAACCATACAAACGGTTTTGCAACGAGTACTTGCCACGTGTACTTCTACTTCCTGATTTGTAACATAAATTTTGTATTCAATGATATGGAAATCTGCTTTAAAATTCACTATTATTGTTCACAATTATGAAGGATTTAAGAAGATTTACATAGTCAAAAATAAAATAATACAGATCTTGTGCTTTTATATAATTTTTTTTTTTTACAATAAATCACTTAAAATACACCCTTTAAACATAATAATATTATTACCTTTTTAAACCCAATGCGTTAAAGGTTATTAGATAAGCTTACTTTTCTGGAGCTTGAAAGCGTATGGCTTTAACGTTTTCAAGATGATTTTCCCAACGAGTATCTGATAAGGGTTTAAGTGTGAAACCCCCTACCATTTTCTTGTATATATCCCACCTACTCGTAGAAGGCGAAAACAAACAATATAAACGTTGGATGATCCCAAAAAAATCAAGTTCTACCAAAAAAAAATCCCAAAAAAACCAATCGCTTTTGGAGATGATTTAGCCATATCACAAAGTGCCAAATTCAGACAATGAAAACCACATGGCACATCATCGATGTCCAAGTTAAGATCAGCCAATGTATCACAAAGTAAATCAAACAACCCTTTTCCTGATTTATCAACAATTTCCAAAAATATTCAAATATTTGAGTTGAATCCACAGCAACATCGACACATCGAATGATAAGAGAATTTGCTCTTTGTGACTAACATCTGAAGTACAATCCAGAATCACTGAAAAATATTTTGCCTCTTGAATCTTCTTAATGATCTTAAGCTTCACCTCTGATCCCAACATTGCTATCAATTCATTCTGAATTTTGTGGCTGAGAAAATGGTATTGAGTTTTTTTCTCTTTGATACGCATGATGTGCTCCCTGATCACTTGATCAAAATCTCCAAACATTTCAATAAAGCTAAGAAAATTCCCATTATTATTCTCACCAAGCTTTTCATTGTTTCCACGAAAAGCAATATTGCATTTAGCCAAAGTCTTCTTCACTAGTGCGAATAATCTCAATAACAATTCTCTCCAATTATTTTTCTCTTTCTTGATTTCTTCTTGGGCACACTTATCAATAGTCATATCCTTTTGCAATCTTAACTCTAATTCCATCCATTGACTCATGCACACAATGTGATCATGACTAGTTTTATGTTGGACAAGCCTTAGCGTAACATTGTTCCAATCCTTAAATCCTATGCTTGCTGATTGACTAGTATATTTTTCCCCTCCGAACAACTTGCAACAAAAACAATAGATTTTCTCTGATATTTTTAAATAGACTAGCCAGCATCTATCTTGTTTATCACCATTCTTCATTGGCCTTTTGTAAAGTTTATGAGAAAAATGTCTACCATTGATATTTTTGGGAAACACAAAATTCTCACACGGACGTGATAAAGAACCTTTTCTAACCAAAATATCCCTCTGCATTCGATCAGTTTTTCCCCAATTTGTTGGATCCGAAGTATCCACATATGAATCATCATCTTTCGTAACCCTTTGATCATTGTCTTCTTGCTCCTCGCTTTGGATTCTAACTCCATTAACTTCTCCATTCTTAGAAGTCTCACAATGTTCATGATCTATTCTAGCATCCTTATCAATTCCAACATCCTCTGTTACGTGGCTGTGAGATTTTGGTTTTTTTAAATACTTGAACATAGAATTCCCTAGAGATTTTGTCGATTCTTCTTCTCTTTTCTTCTTTCTCCTTTTTTTAGCTCCATCATCATATCTTGATTTCATCTCTCTCACTCTCTTAAAATTAAAACATACAAAGACAGAGACTATAATAATTAGAATGTTATTTAACGAGACAATGACTGAAAAAAAAAGTTATAGAACCTAAGCTGTTAAGCACCTAACTGTAAAATTGTAAAACCTCTGAAATCAGATTAATTTTTTTCGTTTACTTTTGATATGAACAACTTGAAACTTATCGTCAACAGATGAATCTCAAAATAAATTAATCCAACTCAAGAAATTGATACCAAATCACAAAACTTGTTCCTTACTCTAGAATTCTCTCGTAAAATAGTGGAGGTATATCAATCGTTTTTTCACTTGCTGGTTCTCTAACAAGCCTTAGTAGGCATTAAAACAATTGGGCCTGTTTTTTTTTGAGGCCCCATATATTTGTATCATAATAATGTGTCAAGGGCCAGGCCGAGAGAGACAAAACATATATAACATATAGGCGACGAAGGTGCGGAGAACATCGGTGCCAAGATCTTCAGGGTTCATCATGATATCATACTCAATCAACCTTTTGAGGTTTCTCAGGATACACATGTCGATTTTACGCCACATCCAAGGCTCTTTGCAGAGGCGCCGCCACAGTCTGCACTCTTTCGGAGCGTTTTCCAGAGTCTCAATGGCGCCAAGATGCTGCAGGAACGAAGACGTCAGTTCTGTTGGAAGCTCCCCCAAGTTGTTGGGTTTGCCTTGGTCCAACCTTTTATGCGAAGAGGCGGAAGAAGCCATTTTATGAGTAACTTAAACGTCATCAACTCATCAGTTTAAATAATCCCTACTATATAAAAGAGAAGTACACAAGGTATTCGGGTCAACTCATCAGTTTACAAACATATCAAACAACTAAACCGGTTTTAAAATTTAAAAAAAAAATCACATAAAACATAATTAACTTTAGGAAAATACCCAAATCCCCAAAACGGGAAATAAATACTGAAAAAATACATTACAATTTCTTTTATTAAACTTGTCTAAAAACTATATAATACAATATAGTTTAAAATATTCATCATTCCAAAACTAATTTCACATTCACCATTTTAGGAAAACAAAAACTTAACTATCTAAAGCCAACACCACCAATTCATTTTTAAAATAAAAAATTTACGTAATTCGGAAAAAAACCCACGCGCTTCGTTTGAAAATTACTCCGTTTAACCCAAATTAGGCAAAAAAACAAAAAAACGAGATTTTTCCTCCACACTGTAGCGCGGATCCGTACCTAGTAAGTGAAGTATACTAAGTACTAACAGTTTCGGACGTTTCGGCTTCTTCTCAAATTTACAATTAAGTCCTCACAGTATTACAGTATTACAATTAAGTCCTCACAGTAGATATATATCTACAAGACTAAGCCTAATGATCTAGTTATATATGGTGCCTAGGACCATAATTTTTGTGTTTCTTTTGGCAGCACACATTTACATGGTTAACATTCAAAGTTAAAATTCTTTTAAATAGAAAAAAAAAGAGCGTGAAATGAGGTAAGACAGACAAATTTAGTTGAAAAGAAAAAGCCTAAGCCAAAATGATTGTCCACTAATTACGCCTCACAAAACAGGGGAAGTTGCTAAAAAACACAACAAACATAACTCTCTCTTATTGTCCAAATTTCTAACATCTTCTTCCTTTGTTGATCAGTTTTTTTTTTGTCTGATTAATTCTCACCGGACGGTGTTATTTTAAATTGGAAAACATGAGCCGTCTCCGAGCATTTTCTGCGCCGGATTTAGTTCCTTCTGATTCTGGATCAATTACATCATCACCAACAAAAACCACAGAGCACCCATGTCATGAAGATTCTGGTCTAGAAGGTACGAAATAAAATTAAATCATATTCATCTAATAATCTCATGGTCTAGAAAACACTAAAACAATAATGTGACTTGAGTGGCAAGAAATGTGTTAAACGTGTTCTTGCTTCTATTCTAAGGGATCACTACGAACGTGAAGCTACTGCTGAAACTCGTTCAAGATCACAACGAAGCAACCTCAAGGCAGCACGATGATTGGAAAGTCCAGAGAGTCAAAACGATGATGACGATTCTCGATGATCTAAAGGCACGAATCCAGAAAGCTCAACAACAATCATCATCTGGGAAAAAAGAGCTTAGGCGATGCAACACAGAGCTGAGACCGATTCATGATCCAAGCAAGAATCCGACGAAGCCGCCACAGAACGACCCTGATGATATTCAGAAGCTGAGAAGAGAGCTAACCGCGAGTATGGCTGCAAGAAAGAGTCTTCAAATGATGTGTTCAAGTCTAGGGAAGGAGAAAGAAATAATGGCTTTGGAGCTATCGAGGAAAGCTCACGAATTGACCGAAATGGAGGAGCTTATAAGTGATCTTAGGGCTCAAAATAATAAATTGCTTAAGAAAGTGCAGAACTGCGCGGTAGAGCACAATAAAGAGAAGAAAGAAGATGATGATGGTCAAGGATGCAAGGATGCGTCTCTTCAGGGAAGAAACAAAGAGTTGTCTGAACAGCTTCTCAAGTCTATTGACGGATACCGATCTCTGAAGAGGAAATACAAAGAAGTTCAAGAAGAAAATGGATCAATGAGACGAGCGCTTAGAGATTATGCAGAAGAAGTGAATGATGGGACTCAAAGACTAACCAAGTTGCATGAGAAGATCACAAGAGAAGATGAAGTGAATCTTGAGAATGAGATTTCAGATTTAGAGAATTTGCTTCAAGGCCTTGGTTTAAAGATTTCGAATCATTCCCAAAAGAAGTAAAGAAACAGAGATTTCATTTATGTATCAAAATATAGTTTCTAATCATATAATTTTGGAAGTTTTGTCACTTGAATTCTGAGATTTGTCTCTCCTTTTCTTAAATCTGGATTTAGCAATTTCCTCATAGCTCTATCGGAAGCCTTAATCCGTCGTGAGCAAGCTGTACATGGATTCCTTCCCTAGAAATCATCATAGTCTATTAGCATTCAACGATGATGATTTATAGCAATGAATATAACATTGTTTTACTGCGTACCTTAGAGACCATTCCGCAAGTATCTCATTGTATTCATGGTGATCAAAGTCGTGTGTCATACCCGTTAAAAGTGCTCTCTTGGGGGAGAGCTTCTTTATAATCTCAAGAGCCTAAAGAACAAGAATGATGAAACGTATCTATAAAAAAGCTCAGAATAGTGAAACCATTATTTGACAAATGAAGAAAAATATTGGAAACAAACCTCAGGAAAACAGATGTGTGTGGGATGTGGTCCTCTCTATTATGATCACATAAATGGTCAGCAACAAAAATTTCATAAGCAAGAAAGCGGTAAACAAAAGTTACAAAATGATATTTAACCTTCCGCGGTATATTTGTATCCAGGATAAGAAGATCTAACTGTCCAGCCCCGGTTTTTGAAATAGCTGCATCATCAAAAATTCACAAGAAGATCAATCTTTCTCTTTAGTAGAAGTGAAGTACATGGTTATAATGATTAAGGCGGAAAAATATAAGCTCTTACCATACTCGGTACTCGGTGGAATGCGCGAAACATCTGATATATAAGCCACTTTACTTTTATTGCCGAAAAGGAAACCTAGAGCAATGTAGTCCTCTCCATGCATTACCTAAAGTAAAACATTGTTGAGTATTCAAGGTCTTAAAGTAGAGTCAGACTGTTTTTATCTACTCAAAAGTGAAAAGAAGTTAAACCGGTAGAGGCGTGAAAGATAAGCCTGAGACGGTGAATGGTTTGTCGCAGTTCTCTTCGATTATTGTCCAGTCAAGCAACGAAACCCGTCTATGTACTTCTTTAACCTTCTTCTCAACCAAATAAGGGAACTTGGAAGAAATGCTGTACGCAAATCTCCTTAAGTCTCATCAGAAAATACTAATCGAAGACAGATTGACAAACAAAAAAAAACCCAAAAAGTTTGTACCTTTCCATTGTAAACTGAGATAGGAATACAGGAAGTGGATCAGTTGAACAACCCCCGCGAGGTTGAAGAGATCGAATTTCATCTAAGCCGTGAACCGCGTCTGCGTGCTCATGAGTTAGAATGATCTACACAAATCATACAAACATAAATCAGTAAGAGTATAGATTTAACTTTATACCAAAAAGATGTAAGCATTCAAGAAGATAGCAAATAAAGAAAAGGGCTTAACAGAATCGAGTCGGGGAATCTTATAGAAGGTGAACCAACGAAGGACTTGCTCTCTAAAACTCTTCCCAACATCAATAATAATGTAATAGTGTCTACCATCTTCTTCCTTGTTGCAATAATCAATCAAGAGCGATGTGTTGCATCTGCCAAGATCAGAGAATCAAAGTTCAAGATTGGGTTAAAGAATGTCCCCTAAACATTAATATTCTCAAGAAGAACACTAGCAATTATCAGAATCCACATATTTCACCTAAATTCCAAGAAGAAAAAAGACAAGATTTTTCCGAAACAGAGAGAACAAAAGATGTCTCTGTTTCTAATCACAAGTCCCCAATTTCAAAAGGCTCTTTATACGTTAAAAACAAGATTTTACATTTCACAATCTCCACAGCTTAAGAGATCAAGACCCAAAGATGTCAAAAATTTACCTGTAGTTCGGGTTAAGGTGAGGAAGTAAAGAGATGGACTGAGAACAGACATGGCAAGGAGGATCCGACGGCTGGAGTAAGCATCTGAAATCGGGAACTGCACCGGAGCAGCCTGTTCCGAGAAAGATCAGAGCCGTCCGATCATCATGACATTGGTTCGTCTCCATCTTCAAGATTACGATCTTCTTCTGGACCAAAGCTGACTTAGAAAGCCAACGGCTATATGTTTGTTTATTGTATTAGTTGAGAATATGCTGACACAAAGTTGTCTTTTCCAAAGTTATTTATACCCACCAAAAGTGATACCGTAATATTTTAGTCATAAGTCTTTGACATTATTTAACCCAAAGAAAAACAAAGAATACAATTACAATAAAAGCTTAAAAACTAAAATTAAAAATATAACACCCCAAGAATTTGATGCCGGAAGCAAAGAGATTTTAAAATTTCTTTTTGCCATAAATATCACCAAAGTACACTTATTTTTTAGAAAATCATTTTAGAATGGTTTATATGAAAAGATAAGTGCACTCTATTGACATAGATGATCAAAATAGTTCTCCTAAACCTTTATTATACAGTATACACCACAATATTCATGATATTGGGTTCTTTTACATTTTTCATTTTAGTTTTTTTTAATTGTATTTGTAATTGTTACAATTTTATTTATAAATATAGTAAAATACAAAATAATTAAATTTTAGTTTTAAATGTTAAGTTGTCACTATAAATGTGATACAGTTAAAAGTCATAATTGTAATTGTTAATTGTTAATTTTTAATTTTTAAATTTTAAATTATTATTGTAATCATTTCTCATGTCTTGTTTTTGGAAAAATGAAAATCACGGTATTAAAACGACGTCGTTTGCCTTTCACAATGCCACATCACTCTCGCGTTATGAGTGATTTGACATGTGTTACATGAGTCAGCATCTCAATGTGACACGTGGCATATGAGTCAGCATTTGTTAATGTGGAGTTAGAAATTAGCATTATTTGTACCAATTGCGTATGAAATTTGTTTGTTTTTTTTTAAGATTGAGTATAAATTCGCATTGCATATTTGTCCAAATAGAAATCGGCACTTTTGAAATTGTTCGAGTATGAAATGGCTATTTTGCCGATATTTTAGTCATAACTTTGACATGATTTGACCTTAATGAAAAAACAAAGAAAACTAACAATATTAAATCAAATCTACTAAAATTTTTTTTCTACTAAATTTCTTACTTCATTAGATCTAATTTTTTTCATATTTTCTAATGCACACAATTTTATTAAAACTTAAAAATGTGATTTATTAGATGAATTTAATTGAACAAACTTTGTAAATACAATATTTTAATAGAAATTATATATCTGACTTTGACTATGGACCTATTGGTAACTAAAATAAATTTTGAATGTAGAGAATTATTGTAGATTCTTTGACACTTGGCATTATGACTGCAAAGTTTTAAACTGCAAAGGCTTTAACTCTTAAGTCTTAAGTTTTCTGGGCAGAAGGAAAATTACCCGATCTAATAAGGCTTGACTTTTTTTTTCCGTTCTCAATCCTCATCGAAGATATTTTTAGGTTTCAATTTTACCAATCAAGAGTTCTAGGGTTTTGCGCAATCACCATGGTTCTCAAACCCTGCGTAGTCGAGACGACGATAGAAGGAGACTCGAGCAAGCTTGATGAGATTGAAGAAGGCAGTGATGCCACGAAAGTCGTCAAAATTGAGGAGCGTAATACTGCCGATGATGATGATATGTTAGAGCCCCCTGAATGGGATGTGGACAGCTTCGATGATGTCGAGTACTATTCATCTGCTGACCCATCCCTTTCTTCTGGTGAGGAGCTCTCGTCCGTCGAGGTGGAGGCTTTAAAAAACTACAACATCGTTAAACGTCAGGTCATTGACAGCAAGGTACGATCTTTTTTTGTCTTTTGAACAATATGAGCTGTGAAATTGAGATGGGTGGTGATTAGTAGGTGCAATGTGTGTGTGATTAGGGGTTTTACGTGGATCCAGAGCTTAGGCTAATTTATCGCTTCAAAGGAATCAAACATGTAAGTTTGGACCGTCATGCGCTTTGGGGCAAAAACTTTCGTGAGTACTGGGGAGAGATGGTACATGTTTGTCTCCAAAAACACAACCAAGACAAGGCTAGTTCTCTCTCTTTTTCCTTTTCTTATGTTTTAGTGTCCATAATGGTTTAGATGTGTAGCTTTTTAAGTCTGAATCTCTTAAGATTGTTTTCTTTTGTGATTGAAGGTGTGTAATGTGGAGTTCGTTGAAGTTGTGAGAGGTAATTATCGCGGAGGACCGAGAGCTAAGTCATACATTACGTTTATGGCGAGGGAGACGCCGAATGGGCCTCTTGTGGAGTATCAAGCTAAGTGTATGGTTACTTTGGACGGCATCACGCATCCCATCCTCTGTAGACCGTCCACTACACCTACAAAGCCTTAAAAACCAAAACTATTATAAGGTATTACAATATGGATTTGATATCAGCAAGTTTTGATTTGATCTCGGAGTTAAGGGGATACCAAGGTCGTAATGTAGTTAGTCCACACAGCTGTTTTGAATTGCTGACTTGTTCTTTTTGTTATGGTTTGACTAAAATTATTGAAATAAGACTCAGATCAGGACGAGGGGATATCATCAATGTGGAAATAAAATATGTAATTTGTAATTTGTAGTTATCAAAATATGTAATTTTGATAAAAGAGAATTAATTTATTAGTATTCAGAAAAATCCATTGAAGAACTAATTATATTTAAGAAAATATTAGAAGACTATGTCAATTGCAACACGAGGAAACATATCAATTTTTACACCAAGTAATGCTCTATGGCAAAATAACAACATGAACGAGCTATAGAGAATAATGCGAGAAAGATTTAAAAGTCGAAAACATAAAACAAGTAATAATGCAAACCAGATTTATATTCGTAAGTGAATTGGATTTGTTAAACTAAAATTTGTTTAGAAGAAATAAACTCAAACGTATTACAAAACGTCAAAAACAAGTCTTGTTGACCAGATTGAGACGTAAATATCATAATTTTCTAGGGCCGGATTTAATATAAATAGGATCACCTTCACAATTGGCTCGCGGAGCAGAGAGGGATTTAGGGTTACAACGACGATAGAAGATTCCGTGGACGCATCATCTACTTCAATGTTTGTCACTTCTTGCCCGACAAAGCTTAAGGCCGAGTTCGAACCGGAGGAGGCAGAAGAGAGCGATGATGAGAATGAAGAAGAAGGGGAAGCTAAAACTGAGGAGCGTAAGGCTGAAACAGATTACTTGAAGGTGCCTGAATGGGATGTGGACAGTTTCGATGGTTTAGAGTATTATTCATCTCCGGAGCCAATACTTTCCTCCGATGAGGAACCTTGCTTCTCCGAAGAAGCTATGGAACACTATCGCATCTTTAAACGTCAGATGATCGAGAGCAAGGTACTTCTTCCTGGTGCTTTTTAATTCTTTTGAGCTGTATACTTGAAACTTTGTGGATTAATCATAGATAATGTGTTTGGTTTAGGGATTTTACGGGGATCATGAGCTGAGGCCAAGTGATCATTACAAAGGAATAACTCCGATGAAGTTGGAGAGTAGAGCGCTTCGGGATAAAAACTACCGCCAGTTCTGGGAAGACATGGTCTATGTCTGTCTCCAAAAACTCAACCAAGACAAGGTTAGTGTTCTCTCTCTCTTTTTCCTCTGTTCTTTTTTTGTGTGGCTTTGTTTAAAATCTGTCAGTCTTCATACTAGTTTAGATGGGTGTAGCTTAGTCTGAATCAAGAAAACGAAAATCTGATTCCTAATTCCATTCTCTTAGAGGAACTTAAGGACTGACTCTTTCTTAGAGGTCTCAGTTTGGTATTTTGTCTCTTTAGGTTATCTTTGAGTGTTAACAGTAGCTATTGTTAGGTTGACAGGATTTATAGTGATCTTGCTAGGGTTTGGGTATTTTCAACCTTATAAACTTTTCACCTCAAGCTTGGCATTAACATTATTTATTTATTGTGGTTCTTTAGGATTCGAATGTGGAGTTCATTGAGGTTGTGAGAGGATATTAACGCCCAGGACCAAGATCAAAGTCATACATTACATTTATGGCAAGGGAGAAACCAGATGGACCTATTGTGGAGTATCAAGCCAAGTGTATGGTTACTTTGGACAGAAAGAGGCATCCCATCCTCTGTAGACCGGCTCCTTCGCCAAAGCCTTAATCAATCAAGGTAAGGATTGCTCTTAGCCAGTTTGGATTTGCTGTGTACATGCTCAAATGTGATTAGATTTAAGTCGTAATGTGTTTGATTTTTATTTTATCGTCCTTGTGAATCTGAATATTTTGAATTCTAGTATCTTTAGACAATAGATGATTTTATTAGGAATTATATGTGTACATGTTTTACGAGTATGACACATACATAAAGCTAGTATTGTTTGAATATGTGGGTGATGAGCTCAATCTGTAGAACTTTTGAAATAATCTAAATACCATAACCAAACCGAATCAAACCGGATATATATGGTTTTATTTTATAAAACTGGAAAACCGTCGATAGCAAACTAAATTAGAAATTGGATTTTACATTATTCACCTAAATTTACAGGACAAGATTTTTCCGAAACAGAGAGAACAAAAGATGTCTCTGTTTTCAATTACAAGTCCTTAATTAATTTCAATAGACTCTTTTACGGAAAGAACAAGATTTTACATATCACAATCTCCACAGCTTAAAAGATCAAAAACCAAAGATGTTAAAATGAACAATTTTGCATATAATTTGAAATCATATTTATCTATACTATTAAAACAGAAGGACAAGCTGTGTCCAAACAGTCCCAAAAAAATATATAAAAAAATATGTAAATCCAAACCTGTTGCCAAACAGAACTAAAGACAGCAAAAAAATAACTAAACCAAAAAAAAAACTATATATATTTATGGAAACTATATTTTGTTTCCATAAAAAGTGGACAATTAAATTCAAAAATTTTACATGTAAACATATTTTTTAAAATTTTTTTAAAAACAATAATTTTTATTTAATCAATTCTAATAAAACAAATCATCAAATATTTTTTTTAAAAATTGATATATGAAAAATGAAAAGAAAAATAAATATGTTAGATTAGGAAATAAATGACTAATCAAATTCTACAATAGCATAAAATGTGGAGTCATAATAATCAGAACTGATTATATCATAAAAATATTAATAATTATAAAATCTTAAAAAAATCATTTACAATTTTTAAATAAACTTTCTTCAACAAATCAATAATAATTTTTTTTTCTTTTTCTAAAATCAGAGTAATAAAAATTTTATATCACATAAAACCTTTTATTTTCACATAAAAATCTTCATAAACAATCTCGCAAATATAGCAAAAAACAAATATTGATTGAAATGAGGTATTTATGTATTTCCTTAAAAAATATATTGATTGAAATGAGGTATTTATGTATTTCCTTAAAAAAGAACAAATTAACAAAAATAAATTTAGACAAAAATTGAGTCTTAACATTTAAATAGATTTCCATAATAAACGTCTGTCTTTAAATTCGAATAATAATAGTTATAGAAAAAAATTAATATTAGATCTTATTTTTAACAGATTTGCATATGTAACTATTTCAACTAATTTAGAATAATAAATATTAAAAATTTTTAAATTGACTTTAAATGAAAAGTATCTAAATATATGAAAATTATAATTTTGTTTATTTCATATATAATTTCTTATTATATATGACTACCATATATCAATGATTTTCTGAATTTTACAATTAACATATTATCAAATTTTCATGATTTCTTAAAAATATCTTAGCAAGAAAATTGATCAAAATTCGAAAATAAAAATAAATTTAGATATTAAATTTGGTTTACGTAGTAGATAAATTTAATATCTAAATTTATTTTTATTTTCGTAGTAGATAAATTATTTTCGTAGTAGATAAATTTAATATAGCAAAAAATACTAAATAAAAAATAATAATAAATATCTGTATTTATGAAAATTATATTTTTTGCCATAAAAAGTGGACAATTAAATTCAAAAATTTGCATATGTAAACATATTTACTTTTTTGAAATGGTTTTTAAAATCGTATTTTATATTTTACAAAATCTAAAAAACAAATGATCATATATTTTTAAAATATATAAAATCATATTCAGGGAAAATAAAAAGAAACAAATATGTTAGATTAAAAAATAAGCAACTAATCAAATTGTACAATAGCATAAAATGTGGAGAAATATTCAACAGAATTGAATCTTTAACAAATAAGTAAAAAATGTTTAAATAAATCACTAATAAAAATTCGTTTTCTAAATTCAATTGAATAAATATTTCATATCACATACAATATCTTATTTTCACATTAAATCTTCATATTGAGAAGCGAACTTAAAATCTACATATATGTGAGATTCCGAATAATTTTTGATAAAATATGAGACATAAATTTTGGATAACATGTTAAAATATTTTTTGATAATCATAGTTAGTTTTCAAAATTTCACTAACTTGAGTAAAGGTGAACTTTGAAACATGTAAATCTCTATTTTGGAACGATTATTTGAAATTTTTACGTAATGTTGTTTTCAACAAACATGTAAATGGTGTCATTTATATAAAAAATATATGATCTTATCTTATAGGGAAAAAAGAAAAAGGGGACGGGTAATTTAAAAAATAAAATAAAAATTTATCTTAACTATTTCTCATCAAAAACAAGACAATAATTTTTTTTTTTTGAAAACTTAAATTCAATTTCAAATTTCAAATAACAAATGACGGGTATCATACATGTATATGAAATTTAAATAACAAATTTAAGTTTCAAATTTTCTAAATATTTCAAATATCGGGACAAAAAATAACGAATACAGAAAGAGAACGGATAATTTAGAAAATAATACTTATTATCTTAACTATTTCTAATAATATACAGAAGGAAATTATGGACTCTCTAGCAAGACAAGTTCGTTCCTATCCGCATACGGTTAAGTATGTAAACAACTGTCCCCCCAATTGGCTCAGCTGAGTTAATCCTATTTTTTTGTTGGCAATCAAAAGACAAATTATTTATTTTTGTGGGTGGGTCAAAATATTTCAATTCGTTTCAGGACATGCATACTAGTATTTGACTCTCTTAATATATATATTTAGGTCCATAAAATTCAAAAGATTTATGTTTTTCATTGTTTTTATCTGGTGTTATAGTTCACGAATTTAATTGATTTCTAACTTATCATTAATCCGGTTCACACTCGATCCGGGTCTTTTATCATATCGATCCATATATTACAAATTTTATAATAAAGTTAGTTTTTGAAATCAACCCCGCACGTACGTGCGGGTCCATCCCTAGTAAAATTATAAAATTTCATGAAGATTTTTAAGCAACCCTCTTAGATTTAACCAAAATATTTAAATTAATAGATATCTTAACTTTATTTTTATAAGATTTTATTCTTAATGAATTTATAATAATATTTTCTTAGTCCACTAAGTAATATATATCCATTTTGAAAAATTCAAATTGCAACATATTAAAAAAAAAGTTGAATTTTTATTATACATTTGTATTATATATTTTAACATAATTAATTAAAAATAAAATCAAATAAAAGTGAATGGAAAATAATAATTGTATTTCGTTTATTATTTTAAATTAGTAAGAGAAATATTAGGAAATCTAAAATTATATATTGAAATAATAAAATCCGCTGGAGAAGTGTCCATTTTATATATCCAAAGTCGACTCCTATTCATTTTTTTTTAATAATATAGAGATTTTGATTGACTAATAAAATTGTCATGGTTATATAAAATTATGGATAAAAATTGATGTTAATTATTATGTATGAACTCTTTTTTTTTTCCTTGAATCAAAACAAAATCAACTCTTACTTACCATTCCAGTTATTTCGAAGTCTGGAAAATTCTCTATAACACTTCCGAAAGGTGTTGTCTCCAACATGTCATAAACAAATTCTCTTATAGCATCTTGTTTGTGACCAAATGAGACTTTGGTCTTCACTCCTTTAACACCTGGTCTGATATTTTTCTCTGCCAAAATAGTTTTAAAAATTATTTTTCATCAAATTAGAATGTGCAGACTGAAGTAAGATTGTATTAAGTAATATACACAGTCCCTCACATCTCTATGGATTCCTTCAATTCTAATATAATTGATTTGCGTGTTCAGATTTTTGAACGAATTTTTCTTTTTTAATGATATAGTGTGTCAAGTCTTGGTAGGATAAGTTACGATGTGATGCAAGATGTTTACCCTTGTTGTAGGATACTTGTACAAGATTAGTGAATACGACTGAACCAGGGGCGGACCCACATAGAAGAAAGTGGGGGCATTTGCACCCACTAACCTATTAAAAACTAAAAATTTTACATTAAAATTAAAGTTATAAGTGTCAAAATGGTTAAACTGCCCCCATGTAATGTTTGAGGTTGTGGGTTCTAGCCTCATGTGCTAACTTTTTGCACCCATTTAATATTTTTTCTGGGTCCGCCCCTGAACTGAACCACATGTGTCTACACAATATCAATATAAACACAAAGTTAGTTCTGAATAGTTAAAAATAAACTAAATTTCTGCCTTCTAACATAGTAGAAGATCTACATTCACGTTGATTGGTCGTGTCACCGGTAAGCCATGAAGTTGTGCAATCTATGAGAATTTGGCTACCATCACCAAAGGGCTACACATAAATATATTAGGAAAACGAAAGATCAAAAGGTGACACAATATCCAATTTTGAATCAAAAATATAAAGGCAATTATTATTATCGGTATTTTGCTTTGAAGTTGGACAATAACAATAAGTATCTATAAAAACAATCAAACCCAATAACCAAATAGGAAAATCATTTAGTGAAGATTAAGTTGCATTTTAAAAGGCTAAACAATTTTAAGACCCAAATATGCACATAAATTATGGTAGTAACATCCTACTAAGACAACATATTGCATGAGACAAAATCATAGGGGGAAATTACATATATATCTCTAATTTTAATTTACCAATGTTTTACGACTTGATATCTTGGTTAGCATGTAAATCTATGATTAAAAATATCATTAATAAATAATTTTGTTTATATAATTTTGTAATTACTCTCAAAAAATAATTATGTTGATAATAAATACTGAAAATGAGAAATTTGATAATTAACCGATAACAAGATATATTTAACAAACTAGTCATAAAACAATGAGAGGTGGTATTTTAAATAAAACTGCAATATAGATCCAAATATCTTCCCTTTTGATCTCTAGCTATAAACCATCTTAGACCATTATTGCTACCATGACCATGTTATTATTGTTACAATTACCGCAACCGTCACTGCCACCGCAAATTACCAACAACATCACTATCACCACCACCACTGCCATTATCATCACCGCCACTGTTATCACCAACTTTCAACTGAAATACAGTATTCTTATTAGAACGATTTGTTTGATAACATTTTATTTTAGGTGATATTAAATGAATTATACTTGATACCATTTTAATTAAAAATTTACATATATATATATATATATATATATATAGTTATATACATTGCTTTCAAGTTTAGCGTTTATATATACAATATTTACACATATTTTAGGTTTTAAGTCTAGATTTTCAGGTTTAGGGGGGTGTATTGAACTTCACATTTTAGGAGATTTTGAAGTATTCTTAAAATCCCTTGTTATTTAATTAGTGATTTTTAAAAATCTTCTGAAATCCTATGTTATTGAACATGAAATTTATATAAAATCATTTAAAATCATTCACAATCTCTTGTTATTCAATCAATAATTTATAAATTTCATTTTAAATCTAGTGTTATTCAAAATACCACAAGTTTTCTTTTAAAAACTAATGAATGTGATTCTAGGAGACTTTTCTAACATTTTTAGTTCAAAAATATGACTCACAAATCACACCTTTATAGATGAAACTTTGAAGGATTTGAAAAATAATGTATGAAACCAATTAAAAAAAAAGAAGACTGATCGTAAGTACTCCTATCTCTGCAACTTGTCTCTTCTCCTTATACTTTCTCTCTTTCTCTACGTTATCTCTCTCAATCTCAAATACATACGTGAACACGGACATGGCGGTTCTTGTTTAACACTTCTGATCTGGTTACGATCTCTGCCATGGCAAATTCATATACGTTAACCGACACCAACAAAAACCATACCCATGAGGAGGGACTTCACATAACTCTAAGCAAGTATTATAAACAATCTTCTTCGCACTTCTTTCCCACTATTTTGACTGACTCTCTCCATAACACAGTCGAACAAGAGATCAAGTTTCTTCACATAGCCTTTCATCTCCTTAACCAATCCCTGAAAATCAAATATCGAGAACAATAGAAAAATTATGAGTAGTTTTCGGTGTTGAGAAATTAGGGTCTTGAGATTTTTTGTATGATTCGCAGAATTCGCCATTAGACTCTCTTCAGAGAATCCAAACAGACCCCCACAGAGACCCACTCCTCCTCCACGGAACAAAGTCTTCGTCAAGAAGACGAGAGACACCTCCCACCTCGATTTCCCCAATCTTGTTAAGCTGGAGAAGGCGGGATCGCACTCGGGTTCGAATTCGAATCCCGCTCCGGCTTCGGCTTCGGATCCTATTAATCGGATTCCTCTTGCTCAGGTCGTCGAGGATTGCGTGAGACGTTGGTTCCAGGATACGCTCAAGGAAGCCAAATCCGGTGACGTTGGTATGCAGGTCTTGGTCGGTCAGATGTATTGCAGCGGCTATGGAATCTCCAAAGATGAACAAAAGGTTCACTCTTTTTCATGGATTTTCTTATTCAGTTTTGCTCTAATCTGGGTTCAGCTTGTTTTCTTCAAAGATTTGTTTTTTTTTTTTTGCGTCTCTGTATGTGCATTGAATGCTGTGGTTAGAAGGTGTTGTTTTGAATTAAGGCTCTTGAAATGTATGTGGTTAGCTCTGGTTTGAAGGTGTAAAGTGTGTTTCTGATTTAGAATTGTATCTGTCTTTGATATTGATCCTTAAAGGGTCGTGCTTGGATTATACAAGTCATGACATTGAACTACAAGTTCCTCACAAGTTAAAAATATAAAATATCCTAAAATCACCTAAAATTCAATAACAAAATCTCACCAAATCACAAGTTATTCTTTTTAAATCTCTAACAAATAACCCAAATCTCCTAAAGCTACACTTCAAATATCTCAAAATCTTAAAATATTAAAATCCCACAAATCTTCTAAAATATGAAGTTCAATACACCCCCCTTAGTGTTTAGTATATTAAAGTTCCAATTGAATAATTTAGTTACTTATGAATTTTAATATAGAACAGTACTTTATTTATCTATATCGTAGATAAAACACCATGTTTTGTCATAAACACCATTCACCATTTAAACATTCACATCCTATTATAAAACCTTAAACTCTGTCGTATGCAGGAAAAATTATTAAAGATTTTGAGAAATTGGTTTTATTAGAAAAGAAATGTTGGTTAAAGCGTTGGCAGTCCATACGTTCAAACTACAGTTTGCTCTATGCTCTCCGTTATATGTATTTTGTAATCAGCCAATCAGGTATAGCTCTTTCTAATCCATCTTCAGATTACCAATAAATAGATCATCTATCATAGATGGTCCTTCTCTGTAACGTTTTCATTTCATTAATTCTAAAAAGACATTTAGCATTAAGGGCGAAAAGGACTAAAGAGTAAAAGATATTTTCCTAAATTAGAATGACTCAAATTTGTAGGTAAACTATGATATTTTAAAATCCATATATGATTTTAATGAAAATCTTCAAATCGATTATAAATATTATAAACCAATAAACCAATTACAATAAATATTTCCGGTTCACAATTAACTAAACTGAAACTAATCAACTAATTTTTCATTTTTTTATACTTCTATATTCGTAAAATTTTTTCTTTTTGCAAGACAAAAAAATTACTACATATTTCACCAAATACAGCAAAAAGAAAAATATATATATATATATATATATATATATGTATATATATATCAAATTTTACTTTTCATGATTTATTAAAAAGAGGGATGAATACATCACACGTTTCCTGGGCTTACATGATTTTACTATGTATATATAAACGATCGAAGATGGCACTTCTAGGGTTTATAAGATCAAATCGATATCTCTTTACGCAGATAACGACAGAAGGAGATTCGAGCAACTTGATGTTATCCATGGCATCATCAGTGGTTACCCTGAAAACGCGTAACGCTGATCAGTTCGACCAAGAGGAGGAGGAAGAAGCGAACGTTGGTGAGAATGAAGAAGAAGGCAGTGATGATGAGGAAGTCATATATGCGGAGCCTGAGGCTGAAATAGATATGCTAGAGGTGCCCGAGTGGGATGTGGACAGCTTCGATGGATTGGAGTATTATTCATCTCCGGATACTGACTATTCCTCTGGTGATGAGATGCCTTATCCCGACATGGAAAAGGCTAATAAACACTATCGGATCTACAAACGCCAAATCATAGAGAGCAAGGTAATCAATCCACTCTCTTTAATTCACTTTTGATTCTGACCTAGATAACTCATGAAAATAATTGATGTTGAGTTAACATCTATAACGTGCATGTGTGATTAGGGTTTTTACGCCGAGCGAGAATATAGCCTATTCTATAACTACAAGAGCATCTTCTCGATTCCTTTGGAACTTGAAGCAGTTGAAGGTAAAACCTTTCGTCAGTTCTGTGAGGATATGGTGCATGTCTGTCTCCAAAAGCACAACGAAGACAAGGCTAGTTCTCTCTCTCTTTGTCCTTTTCACTATTCTCATTGTTGGGGTTTGTTTAATCATTCGTTCACCCTCCTTACTAGTTTTAGATCACTTGTAGCTAACATCTGACTTGTTTACGATTGTGTGCTACTTTCAGGTGTGCAGTGTGGAGTTTGTTGAAGTGGTGAGAGGTAATTTTCACGGAGGACCAAGATCAAAGTCATACATTACATTTATGGCGAGGGAGAAGCCTGATGGACCTCTTGTGGAGTATCAAGCCAAGTCTATGCTTACTTTGGACGGCAATGTACATCCCATCCTCTGTAGACCATCTCCTATGCCAAAGTTTCCAAAACCAATATTATAACTGTACTTAGGGAAATCACTATAGTTGTGGGAATTTGTCGGATGTAACTCATCCGGAAGTGCTGGTTCGAATCCAGCTCGTGACCTTTTCCCATGGATACAAAAAAAAAACTTAAATCAATTAAAAAAAAACAATACATAATACGATTTCGTCATGCCTTTTTTTTTTTGTGTGTGTGATAGAAGACCTCATGATTTTACCTGAATAATAAAATTATACGTTTTAATGATAATAATTTTGTTCTGTTTACTTTTTTTTTTTTTAGCAAAGATGATAAAGTATAATCGAAGCATACTATACATATACATGTTTCTAACTCACTAATCAAAGAAAATAAACTTGTTATTAACATAACGAGGTGTTGAAAAAAGAACCCAACCTCAATATATAGAACGAGGTGTTATGAAAAAAGAATCAACGAAAAAAGGTTTTCCAAACCATATATATTTTTACACTGACTTATATATTTTGATGTTTTGATGTAGGGCTAACCACATGTTTAGACTACATCAAATTATTTGATGTAGACTACATTATTCACGGGAGAAAGACTACATCAAAACATCAAAATATATATGGTTTGGAAAACATTTTTTCATTTATTCTGACATTATAACAACAACAATAATCAGAGGAGAAAACACATAACATATATGAAAATAGTAGAGACAAGATCTACATGCATGTACCAAAAGGTTTATGAAAAAACAGAATAGATTAAAACATGTATGAAAAACAGAATAGATTAAGAGAAAGATAAGGAACATCACAGAACCAAAATATAAAAACATCCATGAACCTTTTCCCAACTGATTTAGACGTGCCAAAATCAAGAACAAATGTTCTAATGAAAGAACAATGTACATATCAAAGAAAATGTAACTATGCTCTTACAATTACTCAAAAGAAGAAAAAAAAAAATACTTAACTGGTTGAAGCTAGCTTTTTTTGTTTCAACCTTAGCACACAGAGAGATGAAAGGAACCTTAGCACAAGCTTTTAAAGCTTTGAGCAGAAGCTGTGAAATCAGCCTGAAAAAATAATATGTATATATACTATAAAGCTCTTGCCGAAGACAGGCCCGTCTGCATTTTTAGGAAATCTTTGAAAATCAATAAGCAGTGTTTCTAGTTTAAGTAAGTATTTGACTGTTGAATACTTTTTCTTCAAGTAACGATTTGACCATTTTGAATACTTGTAATATATCAAACCAGTTTACCTAGAAATCGTAGTGGTGTGGTATTCATTTCGGTAAAAAATATATTTATTTATTGAGAGTAAAGAGACTATTTTAGTGACAATCAATTCACCACTACGATTTCTATTGTTCCTTTATGAGAAAATGGACAAAAAGAAGAAGATATAAAAGTTTGTACAAACTCTTTATAATAAAGGTTATTTTATTTAAACAAACAAGAAACCTAAATCTCATAAGACTTGAATAATTTATCACTAGGTTTTAGTTATGACTTATGATGCGTAGTAGGAGTACCATTATTATTAGTATTTTTTTTAATAGCATGCATGATTTAAATATATTTGTTTTGCTAAAACCTAAAATATTTGTGATTATGTTTATGCAATAGTTATGATTATGTTTTGCTAAAATATTTTTTTTAAAGCATGCATGATCAACAAATATTTGTGTAGTCCACTCACCATTATTGTTTCGTATCGGCTAAAGTAATGAGAAAATGTCCAAAGAAGACATTCTTATCAAAATACCCACAAACTCACACTAGCTATATACTTTGCATCATGGAAGTTGGAACATGTGTTTAATATCAGTTAATTAAGGCTTACTTAGAGAATATATATATACCTGCATTTTATCTTAAAACGTGTTCTCTATTAAGAGAACTTGAAACCGAGAAAGAACCGTGATACTAGATTACTTGCTAGTGTTATGAAAGGAAAGAAAGATAGTCTTTGAATTATAATTTTAATTTTTGTATATGTATTCTCTTATGATTTACAGTATAGAGAATATCATACAATTTCTTTATTGTCCCTCTTTTGGGAAACAACTGATTTCTCTAACACTATTGTATAACTTAAGTTATAACTACACACACTAACGCTAAATTTTGAACTTACTCTATGAACACTATGAAAATATGGTCGAAATCCACAAATTTACATGTAAGAGTTTGACCATTAAAATAGTTGACTAGGAAAGACACGTGGATAACCAAAACCAGTGTGTGTTTTATGAACACGAACAAGATTCAAAACAAATTTACAACCCAAAACGACATTACTCCGTTAGCAGGCCCAAGAACGTCAAAACCCAATCCAAGCCCAATACCAGAAGCAACAATTGAACACGCGCCAAAGTCTGTTGTTCAACGTCGTCACTGCAAATAAAACTAATAGCAGAGATGTTGCAGGTCGTACAGAAGTAAAGACAAAGAACAAATTTGAATTGCTAAATTCAAGTAATGGAGATGCTGACACGTAAGAGACAAAGAGAACAATATAGAGACTAGGTTAAACATCTTTGTATCTCTATATAAGACCAATGTTCTCTGTAATATGGTTTCAAGGATTGAGAAATAAAAAAAACAATCTTTCTATTTCTAGTTTACTCTTTCATGTTTATAAAACAAATATGAACAAGATTAAAACGACGTCGATTCAGTTTAGAAAGATCAGTAAATGACCCATCTAAAATAAAATGTATCGGCTGACCAATTCACATGTAGGTTATATATATTTGAATTTGTAAATCTCGCAGTGATACCAAAGTAACGTAGTAGTTTTAGTACCCACAGCAGTTTGATTTGCGTATTGCATGCTTACGCACTAATTATACAACAATTCTATGGATATATATATATATATATATATATATATATATATGAACGCGCGATAAAAAAAAAAACTATAAGAATTAGTATTGCAATTATATAAGTAAGTTTTGATTTTATAAATTTAAAATTATTTAGCAGACATAAAATCGAATATAATAATACAAAATTCGTTGACACAAGATTAGAGTGGCCGTTTCGCAAATATCACAATTTATGGGGGCAGAAGGTAACTGCATAATTTAAAATCTAAATTATAAATACAATTTCGTAGAAAATAATTTGGGAACAGAATCACGATTAATTCAAAGCAGAGAGGGATTTAGGGTTTACTCGAGAGTCCCGACCATCATGTTTCTCAATCATTGCGAAGCCAAGACGATGATAGACGCATCATCTGCTTCAATGGTTGTCACTTCTTTACCGACAAAGCGTAAGGCCGAGTTCGACCCGGAGGAGGAGAGCGATGGTGAGAATGAAGAAGAAGAAAAGGAAACCAAAATTGAAGAGCGTAAGGGTGGAATAGATTACTTGAAGGTGCCAGAATGGGATGTGGACAGCTTCGATGGTTTAGAGTATTACTCGTCTCCGGAGGTGTTGTTTTCCTCCGATGAGGAACCTTTCTCCGAAGAATCTATACAACACTATCGCATCTTTAAACACCAGATGATCGACAGCAAGGTACTTCTACCCCTGATGCTTTTTAATCCTTTTGAAACTTTGTTGATTAATAGTACTAGATGATGTTATTAGGGTTTTTACGGGGATCCAGAGCTTAGTCCCTATGATCATTACAGAGGAATCAAACCAATGAGCTTGGAGTGGGAAGCGCTTACGGATAAAGACTTTCGCGCCTACTGGGAAGAGATGGTGTTTGTTTGTCTCCATAAACTCAACCAAATCAAGGTTACTCCTCTCTCTCTGTTTTGGTGGCCTTTTGTTTAATCTGTAATCTGTTACTAGTTTAGATTGGGTATTTTCCTTAGTCTGAACCAAGAAGTCCAAAATCTAATTCCTAATACTATTCTCTTAGACGAACTAAAGGTCTCAGATTGGTATGTTATTTTTAGCTTTAGGATTCAGTCATGTTAACAGTGGCAATGGTTAGGACAAGGTTTTTAAGTGGTGGTATGGGAAGTTTTCAACCCTGATATGTGTACTGCCCAAGCTTGGCATTAATATGTTTTTATTTGTGGTTCTATAGGACTCGAATGTGGAGTTTGTTGAAGTTGTGAGAGGTTATTATCGCGCAGGACCAAGATCAAAGTCATACATTACATTTATGGCGAGGGAGAAGCCTGATGGACCTATTGTGGAGTATCAAGCCAAGTGTATGGTTACTTTAGACAGAAAGAGGCATCCCATCCTCTGTAGACCTGTTCCAACGCCAAAGCCTTGATACCAAACTTGTTCAAAGTAGGGATGTCTCTTAGCCAAGTTCTCATGCATGTACTCTGTCTATAGGCTCAAACATGTATAGAGAAACAAGATTCTTTTTGCCTTCCAAGATATTATATGGGGCTTTTCATGTATATGTAGATGTAATTACGATATGAGAAAAGCAAAAAAGAATGACCCGGCCATCTCAACAAAATGTCTTGGCGAAGCATTCAGAATAACGAATTGGTAAATATCGGTATTGCTGGCTTACTTGTTTCTTTTTGTGATGTAGAGAACTATGGTTGGGGCCACTCAAAGAGTGTGGTGCTTTCGTTGCTTTGGTTTCAGTTTGTTAAGTCTAAGATTTGTTCATTATTGCCATATTTGAAAGAGTAAAAACATTGTAGTTTCTGAAAGACGTTAAGCATCTCTGTGATTTACTACTTTTAAACAATGACCAAGTAACCTAAGCCGATGATAGACCGTGACTTTTATGACCCACCCAGTGATTTTCGAAAGAAGAGTATGATTCACCATTTCATTCAACCGTTTGACAAAAAAGTATGACAAATATGTATCGTGTGTATCATTAGTGTTGTTCAAAAGGGCCAAAAGATTATGAACTTGCCATTTATGACTTACCCTTCATTAAAATACGTTACCTAAAAGGGAGTTTTTATTAATAATTTAGTTGAGTAATGGATCCACCAGAGAATTTATTTCTAGGAGTGTTCAAAATGCTAATTCGAAACCAACTCGAACCAAAACTATTCGAAATATTCCAATATTGTTTTGATTTTGAATATCCTAAATAATCATTTGGATATAGGTTGTAAAACCAGTCTGTGGTGGATACAAGATCCGAAGAATACTCAATAATATATTTGATTAAGTAACGATTATAGGTTGTAAAACCAGTCTATGGTTCTTGATTAAGGCATATTATTCTATTAAAAAGTGTTCATTGATGTTCTTATAAATGTTCTTGATTAAGAACGGACTATATCTTAACTAAAACTCTCTGCCCACGTATACATTAATGTGATGTAAGGTTCAAACATTATTGTTATTTAAAATTCAGTTAGAAACTATAATTATATCAATAATATCAATATTATAATTGTGAGATACTACCGCAAGGGAGTTAGCTCTTATTCATTATGTAACCATTTGACTTAAATAATGTTGTTCAAAATTAATAATCTTTAACTATTAAAGTGGCCTGAAGATTTTAAATTTGCCATCATTTAGTAGTGATATCCCAAAATAACCATTATCGCCAAAATGGTGAATTTTGGACTCATGACTAGCTACTGTCTTTTGATGTACTCTCCAGGTATATGTATGATGATATGTCTCAGCATTCGGCATAATGTATATATCCCTATTGAAAGATGCTTGTAAAAAGCATGTCCAAAACAACGTAGCAACAAGTGTATAGAAACAATAAAAATTATTGTAAACTTAGAGAAGTGGTTGATTTTAAAAGGCTAAACAATTTACGATCCAAACATGCACATAAATAATGGAAGTAATATCCTACTAAAACAACAACTAGATCACTTGACCAAAAAGTCAACATATAACACAACACATAGTATGAGACAAGACTAATAGAAGATTTACTCACAGTGTAACGATATGAAATTTGTTATATATATATATATATATCTTGGAAACATATTTATTTCTAGTTTTAATTTATCAATGTTTAAATTTTGATATGTAGGTCAATATGTAAATCTATGATTTTAAAAATAATATTTGTAAATCTTGTTCCTTTTTTTTTGGCTTCGCGCTTAACTTAACATTTAGAGGGTTTGACTGTTTAATCTGTCTAGGCTTTTCTCCAATAGCTTAAGATTCAGCAATTTCATAAATTGATAAATAAACCCTAAAATTTTATTACTTCTCAGTTTAGTCTCGACGATCGGCGAGTGGAAAGAGGAATCTTCATCTTTTTCTTCTTCTTCTCTTAGGGAATGATTTTGATAATTGTTTGAATTAAATAAGGTTCTGAATTTTTAAATAAATTAATACGAAAAAATAATTAATGTCCGTGGTATGATAATGTAAATATGTTGAAATTCCAAGGACTATTTCAAATATTGTTGCAAAAATGTTATAATAGATATTTGAAACTGTGTGTATTGTGTTGACTTTCCCCTCAGTCATTCGACTAATTTTATGAACTAAGGTTGAACCAAGTGTGAACGAGACTTCCATCTATTTGTTAATACGTCCTTCTCGACTTTTTCTTAATGTCTATTTCTTTACCGTGAATTTATATTATTTCATTAAAAAATTTATGATTCATGAATTTTAATTAATTTACAATTTTTTTAATAAAATTATAAAGTATTGGACCTTTGAAATTTAAAATTTTGTCCATATCACCTATTATGTATTCATTGATTTCTAAATATTGAAAGTAAGCATAGACTTGGATTTTTCTATTTGTTAATACGTCCTTCTCGACTTGTTCTTAATGTCTATTTCTTTACCGTGAATTTATATTATTTCATTAAAAAATTTATGATTCATGAATTTTACTTAATTTACAATTTTTTAAATAAAATTATAAAGTATTGGACCTTTAAAATTTAAAATTTTGTCCATATCACCTATTATGTATTCATTGATTTCTAAGTATTACTTTGGAAGTGAAACTAATCAATAAGTTTTCTTTACATATTCTCTATTGAGAAATAATTAATTTAATTATATTTATTAATGGATAAAAACAATAAATTATACATATTAATTAAAAAACAATTATGACATATTTTACCAGTAGTCTAACAATGTAAAGAAAAGCAAAAAGAAAATGAAAAGATTGATGGCACTTGTGTTACACATAAAAAAAAAATGTCAGTTGTGTATAACATGTTTTTTATATAAAGAATTAAAAGATTGATGGCACTTGTGTAAATACATCACACGTTTCCTGGGAAGAATGTGTTTTCACATGACTTTTACTCTATCTTAAAATGAAAGTTGAATTATATTATTACCAGTAATAAAAAAAAATTCAAGTATTGTTTTCTTATTTTAAAATTTCATTTATTTTACATAATTTATTTTTATATGTATAAAATTTCTATTAATTAAATAAGTAACATAAATATGTACTAAAATAATGTTTTAAACTTATTTTAATGTAAAAAAAAAATGTGGCATAGGTGGATCTTATGTGGCATCATGAGAAGAGAGAAAAGCTAAATTTATATATATAGATATAGATACAAAGATAACAATTCTAGCTAGGGTTTACTCGATCACATCGATCATCTGAGCAATTTGATGGTATCCATCGAAGCATCGTCAGTGGTTATCCCGAAAACGCGTAAGGCTGATCAATTCGACCAAGAGGAGGAGGAGGAAACGAACGTTGGTGAGAATGAAGAAGAAGGCTGTGATGATGCGGAAGTCTGAAACAGTAAATTGTAAATCCCAAATCAGCTCTCACCGAGAGAACAAGATAAGGGCAAATACAGCCTAGAAAGCAACCACTGAGGTAGAAGGATCGCTTCGAAGAACTGGATTCGATGATGGATGATGATATGGTGATAGATGATGATGATCGTGAGAGAGAGTAAGAGATTGAAGAAGATAAATTGTGTTTGATTGATTAGTTTGCAGAAAGTTGCTCAGCCTTACATATATAGAAGCGACAAAGATGCAAAACCTAAACCATAAACTATAATTAACTAAACCAGAGATAGCCCAAACCATGTTCTTAACCGGTTTGTCCTGTCACAATACTCCCTTCTTCAGAACATCCTTGTCCTCAAGGATGAAAGGATGCTCATAAGTGAAAGGGTCTCCATGTAGCTTGGTCGGGAGGATGCACTTTCCAATTAACAAAGATCTTGGTGATAGCTTTGCTGTGGTAGTTAAACCTCTTCAAGTTCGTGTCTATAACTGGAGCAAAGATATAATAGCCTTGAATCGGTAGAAAACTTGTGATAAAAACTAGAAAGCTCTTGTATCTTCTCTTAGCCCTGTTCTTAGCATTTGTAAGCTTCGTTTTAAGTTCCTGTGAAAGCTCCATCAAATAGGTAAGAGCTTTCCAAACACTCGTTATCATCCTCTGTTTCAGCTTGGAACCAACGAAAAATTCGTGAAGCTTCTCAATGAACCTCAATACTCTACCCAGCTCAATACTCAAAAACTCGTTATCATCCCGTGTCCATAAACAGATTACTGCTTCTTTTTCAAGCTTCATGTTATGAATACCCAAGTAAACCAAAACCTTTCTAAACATCTTTGTAATTCTAGCTTCAGTTTCCCTTAGCCCATTCTTTTCTTCAACATAAATCAGCTCTTGCTGCATCTTTTGGCCTACATCTAGCAACCTTTTACCATGCACAAACCACAGAACTGCTTCTAATTGTTCCCAGCATAACAATATGCATGTATCCACCTGTTTTTGCTCATGTGCATCATCTTGTTTGTCTTCTAGATAAAGAGTCTTGTTACTCCTTTTTCTGTCAAAAGATTTGAACTCCTCAGGATAACAGTTCACCACTTGCATTTGCGAATATCGAAATGTTTCAACCTCAAGTGATTCTTCGTATGGCGTCAATTCTTTCTCTGACCAGTCCAAGAGATCTAATTGAGCTTGTAAACCGCCTGGTTCCCATACACGGATCTGAACTGGTCCACTATAAACTGCTGGTTTTGAACTCTCATCAACTAGCTTATATCGATCAATTGTTCTCCTCCTACAAGAAGCAACAATGATTTTGAACTCTTTGACGAACTGATCCCAATTTTTCTCTTGAGAAACTTTACCAAGCAAAGCAGTTTCTTCCAACAAAGGGAACTTATCAAACATCAGTTTGCTTCTCTTTGAAGTGGTCTTGAACTTAAACTTCCAGCCCTTAAGATACTTCCTCTGTTTTTCTTCACTTGTTACTCTTAGAAGAATTTGATCAAACAGCTGGTGTGCAACGATTTTGCCATTAC